TGAACTATTCGACGGTACTCGTGTTGATCCAGTGTACAATATTTTGATCTTTATGAACATGAAATGCGATACAGATTACAACTTGCCCAAAAACGAGCAAATGAATTTTTGGTAAAATCAAAGAAAGACAGGAAAGTTCACTATGACACCAAATCCCAAAATATTCAGTTAAAACAGGGAGATTCTGTATTGGTAACAAATGAAAATCGCCAAAAATTAGATCCGTGGTACAATGGGCCATTTACTGTCATTTCCATAGATGGACCCAATTGTGTATTAGAGGATAGTAAGGGAAAACAATCAACTATCCACAAGAATAGGATTGTAAAATATTGTAAATAGCTAATGTCATTTTAATAATATAATAATATAATTATTATATATAATTATATTAATGTATCCCATTTCATTAATTTTAAGTTTTGTGTAATTCTTATTTTATATTTCTGTAAGCACGTTAACATTATGTAGGTTAGATAATAGTGCATTGTCTGCAAATTGTTATAAGTTATAAGTGTGCCAGGCGTGTTATTTATTTTGAACTGAACGTGAAAAGTTTTTACGATTTTTTTTTGAAACCTTATAGTTTTAATATGAATATGTTTAGTTAGGTTAGGGTTAGGTTTTCTATTACTTGCTGGTGTTAGCAAGTTTTTGTCAATAGTTTTGATTTGGTTTGGTTTGGTTTGGTAACCCAGATAATATACCGTTTAGGTTGGTGACAATGCTATTGTACATTCAATTGTGAGTCTTCAATAAACACACATTAAAAGTAAGAAGTTGTGTTATTTGCTACATAATATACTTTGATTATAATGTTTGTATCATAATTTCTTAAAAATATCAAGTTAGTGGATTAATAGCAATTTTAGACATACATTTTATCGAAGAATCTGTTGATAAGACTAAAATAAGCTTTATGTTTTATCTTTTTTTCTTTAGAAGGGAAATGGTTTGTGTCATAGAATACATTACAGTATTTAATATCGTGTACTTTGATATTCTTTTCTTAATTTACTGTAATTTCTTGTATCCTATAATGCCAAATCTTGACAATATGGTGAAGGTAGCGTTTTGATCTTCTGTTAGTTTCATACCTGTGTTTATACAAGACCAACTTAAGATTAGTTTGTAATTAGTTTGTGATTTATATTAAGATCTTTCTTATAATATTTGTTATGTCTTAATCTTAATACTATATTATGCTTTGTCTGGAAAATAAATGTTAAAATATCTTAATTTTACATTTCCTATTCCATCCTTCCATTAGGAAAAATATGGTTTATAAATCATATTATGCTAAGAAAATCACATAAATTAGGTTTAAGAATAGAGAAATCTTAAGCACAGCTAAAAGGCCTTTTAAGGCCTCCGTAGTTTTGATGGAATGTTAAAAAAAACTTATTATGAACATGACATGGAGCTACAGCATTAAAAAATTAAAAAAAAAAACTTGGACACGTCCCTTTTAATTTCCCGAATTTTTAATAAAGCACTTTTTAAACGTAGCATAAGTGTGCGAACACAGTGCAAGCAGGTTTGCCGCTCACTGGTAGTCAGCGCCAATCTGGGCACCTATTCTTGACATCGTTCGCAACTTTGCGTATGCGCATCACGTGTATTGTTATAAACAGGGTATCCCAGAAATAAGTGCAAGTATTTTAAAGGGTGGTAGATCTGGATAAAAGAAACATATTTTCTCTTTATCATTTTTCAAATAAGTCCAAAATAATGGAGTTATTTTACTTTGAAAATTTCCAAAAAAAATTTTTTGCTAAAATTTTGAGAACCTTCTTCTTCATGTGCCTCTCCTCATCGGAGGTTGGCGACCATCAATTGGAATTCCTCCCTGTCTTGAGCCAAACGAATAATTGCACTGGCCTCTCCTATATTAAACCACTGGCGCAAATTCCGCAACCAGGAAAACCGTTTACGCCCGATGCCTCGTCGTCCTTCAATCTTTCCCTCAACGATCAGCTGTAGGAAACTATATTGTTATTTCGAAAAATATGACCAAAATATGCTGCTTTTCGTCGTTTTATTGTAGTCAATAGTTCTTGGTCCTTACATATTCTTTCCAATACTTCGAGATTTGTTTGAGAACCACTGGATCTTTTCTGGATTTTCTTTCTTATAAATTTAATCTACTACCTATGTTGCCATATTATCAAGAAATTATTTTTTTAAATAAAAACTAAAAAAAATTGCAAAAAAATTCCAAAAATATTTTCAAAAAATTCCGAATTTTCAAAAAAAAATATTTAGAAAAAAACCTCATAGGCGGTTTCTGGGGTTGAACTATACTACCAGTTAAGTTAAAATACTTGCACTTATTTCTGGGACACCCTGTATATGGTTACATAGTAGCGCCGCGCCGCGCCGCCTCGCGCTTATAACCTTGAAAAATTAAAGCGTGTTATCAAATCGGCTAGTTCACAGTGAAAGCAGGCAGGCACCGTCAACCAGCGTTCATCGGCGTTCTCGCTTTTACCGGAACGAAAATTTATTTATTTCTGCTTTTGCACGCGCCGACGGCGCACAGGGGGTATTAAGAACTAAAAGTTGGCCAAAATTATGTTTTATGATTTTTTTGCTTTTTTGCTAGTAATATTAATTATTAATTAGAGGAGAGGTTGCTAATATGGAACCCCATTTTGTTTTTCCTACACAATATTTTTTCCTCTACTCTGAAACCCTTTCCACCGATCAAATAGGGCCATTCTGTGCAAAACCAAGCAATTGGATGAGGATGCTAGAACAAGAAAGTAATTTGTATATTATAGACGATATTTGAGCGAGGATGGGTGTTAATAGGGTAAAGACTATTTCCTTTAAGAATCTATTTAAATCAATGTTTTTTTTGGCAGTGGCAAATATTGGCAAGATTTTTGTGCATATTCCAATGCTGGAGACTTTAAGCATTGAACGGATACTAATTTCCATGCGGAATATTGCCGAATAGTCTTACACCTTATAAAAATGCCACTGATTTTTTAAATATAAAACATTATAAAAAAATAGAATAGAAGGAAACGTTTCAAAATAAAAATATGGCATAAAACAGAACAGAGCCAACAAACAAAGCTGGCTCTGTATCCATCATGACAGTTATTATGAACAATTTGCAAAAAAAGCACTACAAACAATTCCACTATTTTTATAATCTTAGAAATATTCAGAATACACTCAAGATAATTCATACTTTTAACTGAAATATATTATTTATTTGATAGTCAACTTACGACTTAAAAAAGCTAATAACTAATAAACGTGCTTACATTTAGTATTTATAGATTTGTATTCAGTTAAGTAAATTTCCTCTTAATTAACTACTTCCGAAATTTGCTTGCATCTCCGAAAAAGTCATATAACAATACACGGCATATACGCAAAGTTACTCATCAAGTGTATTGTAATATGGCTTTTTCGGAGATGCGAGATGTGAGCGATATTTGAAGATGCGAGTAGTCAAGAATAAGTCCCCAGAGACGGCGCTGGTTGCCGGAAAGCAGAAACCTGCCTCCACTATGTTCGTACCCTAATAATCTAGAGCAATTAGATTAATTATAGGAATCTAGAGTTTTATTTCTATTTAATTTTATTGACTATGAAAATACATAATAAGCGTTCAAGTGTTGTGCGAAATATTAAAATAATAATATAAATAATATACCGGCGTACTATGATTGAAAAAAAAATAGCGTCAGCGATGACTATGAAATGAAGATCGCTGTCATTTTATATGGGAAATGTCCTCAATCGTCATTTTCCAGCCAACTGGACGCCGTTTTTTTGATCATACGGTATATATTGACAAAAAAACACTGAAAAGCACATATTTGTTTTCTACTGAAAATAATTCCAAAATAACTTGCAATCTGGCAACGTCGAAGATGTGCGCATGCGTAGTGTCTGTGACTATATGCAGCAAAAACTCGTTTCAAGGTCAGCCACCGGATCCACACCATTACCGGTTTTTTTTTTAATAACACTCATTGTACACTGCTAATAATTCAATAGAATAACTCTAAATTTTAACAAAAACTAGCAAAAATACAGTTAAAACGTATACCACAGACGTATACCATGATACAAAGAATACAAGGTATGATATTGCGCAGGTTGATCACTACGTCACAGGTGATAAACGGCACCATTGGTCGGCAAGTTCCGCGCGCCAATTTCAAATTGTCCAACAGATGTCACAATAAATGTCAAAATAATTTTTCAAATGTCAAGCACGATGATTTGACATAACTTTTAAGGTTATGTCCTAATTCTTCCCTCTTTTAGGTCTTTTTTTATTAGTGGCAATTGCACAATATGGATATTTTTTGTATGGCGTATGACGTCACAGGTGGTATGCGCAAACTTAACGAAATTGGGGCCGCTATCGATCATACCTTGTTTTCTTTGTACCATGGACGTATACTAACAATCATAGGACCATAGGACTAACAATTGAAAATGATCAATCTCATCCGATTACAGTGCCTCTGGTGTCAAACCGAGAAACTTGCTTTAAAGTAGGGACAGAAATTTCAAATATGTCCATTGTCGATAAATCTCCTTTTTAAAGCCCTCCATACTCAAAACTAAAGATTTCAGTTAACGTCTCCTTCTTGCTGCCACGCAGAGAATACTGCCACGGCTAATCTGGACGGGGCCTACTTTGTTTACGCGGAATCCGAACCGCGGTCCTCGGCCATATCATGGTCAATAGCCTATAGACTTGGCAAGTATCTAAATCGACTCTTACTCGCGAGATATCCGATCTCATCCGGCCTCGAACCGGCGTGAATGAGCAGTATGTGTAAATCAGTTAGTTATTCTATGGTGTAAATAGATTTTACACTTTTGCCTTTTTTTGGACAACAGCACGATACAGTTTCGAACCGGTCACCCGTCCATTCACCTTTATAACCTCATTGCTTGAAACACACCATTGCCAGAAAACCTTGTCATATATAAAAAAAATATATGCCAAATTCTCTGAAGGTAAGCAGCCATAATACAGAAAAGAAGACATAGATAGAAAGCGGATAGCGTCAATGTCAAAAGTGCACATTTATAGAATTTTAAGGTTTTCTTGTGACTTGGGGTCAAATTTTTGCCTTTTTGCCAATTTATTTGATCAATTTTAATTATGAACAATTCACAGGTAAATAACTCCATAATAGCTATAATTGCTTCTAATTATTTCTATATAATCTGCAAGATTTTTAAGAAAATGTGCTAGATATAGAAATTTGGATTTAACGCCTCGGATATGTTTACGTAATCGTAGATATTAAAAAAAATTTTTATGCTTTTTAGAAAATTTCCCCTATGGTCCAACTGTTGTTCAGACAGGCATTCCGTAATGCGAGCAACTTACCTGTTACTCCAAGATTTCAGCAACTAAAGAATGTCCAATCAAAATTTTTGGTAGGTTTTTCATTTGTGAGATTTATTTAATTTAAAAATAATTATTTTGTTTCGGATTTTGTAGGTTGAGGATGGTACCCCAGTTCATTACAAAAACGGTGTTTTTGACAAATTTCTAACCCGGGGCACCGTTCTTCTAGCTGTATGTGGTGCTAGTTTGGGTCTTCACACGTTCTATACATTACTTTTTGGAAAGAAAAGTTAAATTTACATAATTATAATGTAATAAATTCTATTAATGTAATAAAACTAGTTTCGTTGTAGGTAAACCTTTTGTTTGACTTATCAACAGTTATGTAATTTCATGAAATTTAGTAAAATAGTTTCGCAATATTTAAAAGCAAAAATTAAAAAATACCTATATTATTTATGCTGTCTGGGCTCTACAGGGTGTAATAAAGTACAAAAAATATGCCTATAATATAGGGTGAACTAAAATCGCATGGAAACTAAGACTTAAAAAATTAATTGAAATATGAAATATTCATTCTGCCAAAAAATTCGCATGTTTTTCAGAGGATTGAATCTTTTTTAAGAATATATTATCTTTTTAAACAATATATTCGCAGCACCCCATCACATACAGTATTTTGTAAATAACATAGAGATATATGTACAGACACTTCATAAAAAGTAGGTATCTATAATACAAGTTACAAACTTGTTATTACTTTAATAATAATTATGAACAAGAATCGTGCTGAGAACGTATTTATTACTTAAATATTGCATTGTTTCTAACCTGCGGTACTGCCAGTAGACTCCATGTTGTCGCTATACTTACAACAGAGGATTTTTACACTATTTTTTGTTATTGTTTAAAGTGTCCATTTTTGTTTTTCATACCGACTAATTTTATGTATTTCGGAATGATTCTTTTAAAATGGAACACCCTGTATATTATTGCATATCACTTTACGTAATGTTAAGATATGAGTAAATATATTTAGATAATTTCAGAGATAATATTAATAAATAAATAAAATATTTTCAACCTTCCTTAAAACAATATTATAAATATAAGGATTGTCTTGAAATCAAAACTATATTAGGTATTTACTTTAGAGGGCCAGTACTTACTTTGCTATAAATATGGTAATCGTAAATCATACAGGATGTTCAAAATTCTACGCCAAACTTTCTAAAATATAAAATAATTTTTCTTCGTTTATTTTGTCAATGGAACACCCTGTATATTATTTTTATTAGATGTAGAATTAAAAAATGAACATTTTTTGTATTTAAAGTATATTTCAAAATTTTTAATGGTTTCGCAGATACACGGAGTATTATTTCATGTGGCTCTTTCAAAGGTAAAATACCAGAGAAAAATCATTGGCCATTGGGTGGCTTTGATGAAAATTTACTGTGGAAAATGCCATATGAAATAATATAAAACCGCTAATATCTGCGAAACCGTTAAAAATTTTGAAATACTTTAAATACAAAAAATGTTCCTTTTTTTTAATTCTCCATCTATTGTAAAAATAATATACAGGGTCCGTTTAAAAAAAAACAGAAAAATTATTTTATATTTTAGAAAGAGTGGCGTAGAATTTTGAACATGCTGTATGATTTACGATTATCTTATTTATAGCAAGGTAAGCACAGACCCTCTAAAGTAAATACCTAATATAGTTTTGATTTCAGGACAATTCTTGTATTTTTAATAATTTGTTAAGAAAGGCTGAGAAAAATATATTTTTTTTATTTCTTTATTAATATCTCTGAAACTATCGCAATATATTTACTTAGGATAATAATATATTCTTAGGATTATGTAAAGTGATCTGGAAATGAAGACAAAAATGCAATAATATACAGGGTGTTCTATTTAAAAAGTAATCTCGATCCATTTAACTTTTTGAGCCACCCTATAGAAGTTAAAATATTTTCTTGAAATACATCCTAGTACATACTTTAGGGCTGCACTTAAACAAAATTCCCAATTTTTTTATTCCAGGAGCTACAGATGCTCGACGCACTATTGCCGAACCCTGTATATCATTGTTATTACCACAACCACAAACTAATTTATAATATCAAAGCAAAACCTTTGAAGGCGGGTATAAAAGGACAAATAACTCACAATCTTTAAGTTGTTTAATTTAAATTTTAATGTTTAAAAAAGCAAGGGGGGCGACATGTTTCGGGAATTTAAACTATTCCCATCATCAGGCCCAAAAGCTAAAACAATTACAGAGGTCAAATTTATAAAATACAATCACAAGTTAAAAAGTCAATTTTTTTTTACAAAGTCAAAAAGTTATATCTATCACAAAAATTGTTCAATCACAGATAACAATATGGCATGCTAAATTTGAAAAATTAAAAAAAACTAGATCAAAATCATAAGGTGAGGGGAGACGTATAATCAGCTATAATTAGATAAATTGAAAGAAAAAACGAACAAGGCGATAATCAAATCATACCTCAATGCACAATTCAAAGAAATTTACTTCAGCATTAGTTAAATGTATTTTGAGTGATATATTTTTTATTTATTTTTTGTATTAGTAATGTAAGTTGAGAATTAATTATTTCACTCTGTATATGCTGATATTCAATATTCAATTTTGTAGGATAACATTTTTTTAGTTATGTTAGTTAGGAACAAGTTAAGAATTATATGTTTATTTTTTTTATTTTTTAACCAGTATATGTTGAATTTTAATTTATATTTCAAATTTATATATTGTAGAAAATTAATATTTATTTTAGTTTAATTTTAGAAATTGAATATTTATTTTAATTTATATATGTAGAAGAATTACTTTTTATTTTAATTCAATTAAACTTGTGTTCTTTAAAATAAAAGCATACTCACACAAAACTTTTGTGTGAGTATGCTTTTATTTTAAAAAAACACAAGTTTAATTGAATTAAGCCTTTCGTTGTAATACCATGTTATTACAACGAAAGGATTCCTTCTTGAAGAGTTATACAATTTATAATTACAATGAGAGAGTTGTGTAAATATTAACAGCTCTAACTAATTTTATTTCTTCCGAGTGGTTGTACTTCCTAGGTTGACTTTTGTGTGAGTATGCTTTTATTTTAAATAACACAAGTTTAATTGAATTAAAATAAAAAATAATTCTACATATATAAATTAAAATAAATATTAAATTTCTAAAATTAAACTAAAATAAATATTAATTTTCTACAATATATAAATTTGAAATATAAATCGACGGCGTCACGACAAAAGGGCGTAAGCGCCAAAATAACGAAAATGAGATTATGGTTCCAAAATGTAATACTAATAAATGCGCACCTATCTATGAAACGGCTTAACCAGCAAAAATTCTTAACGTGAGAAAAAAGACAGTTTTAGTTTCTAACCGCCAATACACCTTCAAACCAGACTCGACGCGAAAATCAGTAACCGCCATTCACACGTGTTGGAAGGTCGCTTACGCCTGGGATGAAAAAATACCATTTTCCATTCAAAGGTACGTAGAAAAACTTATTAATAAGATAGGTCTTATTCATATTTGGTAGCCTAGATTGTTTTTTGTGCTTCAATCTTATTCAAATAGTAAACACCGACATTTATTTGTTATTGTCGGTTACGTCTTTTCGTGTTAATTTATTTGGTTTCCGTAAGCGCCATCCGCCTATGTGATCGTAATGGCATATTTTTTTGCTTTTAACAAAACTACCGTTCAGCAGATTTCAAAAAATTGTCAAATATCTAAATTGTATACAATATTAATTTTCAAAAAAACCTTTGCTACAAGTCAAAGGACTTTTTCTTGATTGTAATAATTGTTTGAAATTTGATTTTTTTGATGTCGCTTAAGCCTTTTTTATATTTTTTCTCCACAGTGTGATAATGACTTCCCGCGGGAAGAAAATCAGAGATTTGGCATTAAAATGTGGAAATCAAGAGGTTGAGGTTGAGAGCAATATCATAGATAATGATCTTCTGGCAGAAGCATTGCAGCGTGATGCGCTGTTGGAGTCAGAATTATTCATGTTAGAAGCACCACCTTTTGCCACCAACGAGGAATACGGATCAAGTTTACGCGTATTTTGCTCAGAATATTAGTTAAATTTAATTTTCCAGTTATTATTTCAAGCCTAATGAGTTTGAAAATATTGAAAGTATCAGTTTGAGTATTTTGTACTGTGTTTTCTTAAAAAATTTAAAAAATCCAAGCGACATTTTTAATTTTATTTGTAAAACTCAAAAGGCGTAAGTGCACCTAAACGACAGAAAATGACTAGAATAATAAGACACAAAAGTCTTAAACGCCTTTCAAAAAGACGTAAACGCCATCGAGCCTAGAAAGAAAGGCGTAAGCGCCAAATATTAAAATAACTAATTAACAGTTTAATATTTTATAAGCAAAAAATTCTTGAAAAATGTGCCATATAATCTATAATACTGTAGCAAGAAATAATTCACAAAAAATAAAAAATATAGATTTTAGACGTTTTTTTCGTCTCCTGAAAAAAATGACGAATGGCGCTTACACCCTTTTGTCGTGACGCCGTCGAAATTAAAAGTCAACATATACTGGTTAAAAAATTAAAAAATAAACATAATTCTTAACTTGTTCCTAACTAACATAACTAAAAAAAATTATCCTACAAAATTGAATATCAGCATATACAGATTGAAATAATTAATTCTCAACTTACATTGCTAATACAAAAAATAAATAAAAAATATATCACTCAAAATACTTTTAACTAATGCTTAAGTAAATTTCTTTAAATTGTGCATTGAGGTATCTCAACTGTAATCTAGAATGGAAATAGTCAATACATGTCATTATCATTATTGACAAAAAATGAACGTGTTGAGTGGATAGTTATTTCACTGAAATGATAAATTTGGGAACTTTTTATTTTTTTAAATTAATCATAAATTTTTCTTCCAAAAAAATGATGATAAAATAGTTTCTGTCAAACTTTTAGCACAAAAAGATTTCAAATTTATGATTTCAGTCTAACTATAATTTCGATTCCAAATAATTGGAGAACCATTACTCGTAGCGATTTTTACCAAGAGACCTATTTTACGTAAAAAACATCGTAATTGTATATTTATTTACCCAGTAGTCTTATACAGGTACGGACGAAAAGTTATTACTTTCCAAACCAGTTAAAAAATATGCAGGTGGCGCCCTCTACAAGCAGGTGGCTTGTAGAGTCATATTGACATCAAAATCAAATTTTTCATGTCAAAAAACTCCCAGACACCAATTTTCATCCAAATATTGACGTTAATTCAGAAATTACTTGGAAAAACTCGAAATAAAAGTGAAATTTCTACACCCTGTATCTCCGAAACTAACCCATTTTAGGACATACATTTATACGAACTTTTTCACTTATTTTTATCTGAAGAATATGCTGCCGAAGTTTCCGGAATACAATTCGGACCACCCTGTATATAATTCTTACGATTCGTCCAAAGAATCAATTCTCATGTTCCTTTAAATGAACGCCCTGTAGAAACGAACGAGTCGCCTTGTGATCCGAGTTAATTCCTACGACTCTTTCGTTCAAATATTATGAATCTGTTCTATCCACGATTCAGTTGAACGAATCGTATACTTAGCGGTGAATCTTACGATTCATCTTTAATACTCGTTCGATCTTCGCCCACCTCTATCAGTAATTAGTTATTATATCTAAATATCAGAACTGAAATTCAATGATCGAATTAGAAATGGGGTCCACGTAAGTCTTACCGAATTGTATAATTTCGTAAAATTTAATAGTTAGTAGCTTATCGGCATATATATTGTTTCTAAACAACGTTGCAATTTAAAAATGCAAATTCAATAGTAATTGTGTTATCAGTTTAGAACATAACAAAAATAATTTTACATTTTGTGGCGATTATGTGTGGCTGGTACATTTTGCGTCGAGTTCTGTTGTCGGCTAGAGAAAATCACCTATAGTTGTTACTACAATATGGCCGATGATCTATTACAAGGGCTCAGAGAAGAACTTGAGAATCGCAAGAGAAACGATGACGATAGCCCAGAAGATGTTTTAAAAGGTTTCATGGAAGCCCTAGAAAATATGCCCAAATTCGGCGAGGAAACGGAAAATTTTATGAACAACATGAAAAACGGACCAGAGAAGGTCCAAACGATTGCCTATCTTATATTCTTTTCTATTTTGGGAATTATTTTTTTATGTTTCGGTAAGTATATAGACATATTCAATTCTACAGGGTGACCATACAGGGTGGTGCCTCTCATACGTCGTGGAGGCTCCAAGGAGAACGACAGTTTGTATTGAAATCAAATCTTGTGAGCATATATATGTAGGTTAATTTAGAGCACTTTTATTGTAACTGCTTTTCGAGGTAGAACTCCACACTTACCTTTCAAAATGAAAAGATCTTTTTGAAAAGAAAATAATTTTATGCAGTTAACAGGAAAGGAAGCATTTTGAGCATTCGATTTCATCTAGCTAATTTTTGTCACCTAATTATAGGTTTATATCTAGTTTTAATTCTGTAATAATTAAAATATGTTTTAAACTTTTTATTACCGTTGAGTATTTACTCTACAATCTTTAATTTTTGTTAAATTAACAAAAGGTATATCACAGCCACCTAGAGTTTTTCAAATTATAAAGATCTACTGATGCAAAATTATAAAAATTAAAATATCTAGGAACTTTGTCTGAGGGGTAGGCAACCTTAATATTTTGAAGATATATCAATTCCCCATTGAACACCGGAATAATATACTAGATGTTCCATTTAAAATAAAGGAGTAACTTGCTTTTAAAAGTGACTAATGTTCCTTATTAATTTTATCTCACCCTGTATAACTTTTCGGGTCAAATTTCAATTTAGTTTAACATACAATGGTTACTGTAATTAAATATCAGGCTATACACAAGGCTTTTCATTTTCACAAATTGTGAAATATGTCAAAATCCTTAGATTTTAGGTATATGCTTCTTTAATAAAACTCACCTTTATATTTTTCCTAGACCCCAAAAATCAATTAATATTTAGGGTGTTCCATTAGAAAAAACACAACTTTGATGTGTATTTTTTTGGGAGACACCCTGTATAATTCTATATATTCTTATAAAATGCTTTCATAACCATAACATTTTTAACCTAGATATGCTGCCAAAATTTTATTTGGATATAAACTACCGTTCTCCTTGGAACTTCCGCGGCGTATGAGAGGCGCCACCCTGTATATTTAGCAGTGGGAAATAAATACTATCACGAAGAAAGGATACCTACGTTATAAAAATAGTAGATTGAATAGGAGGGGGGAAGTAAATCACCTCGACATTATAGATTTGTTATGTTCCCCGTTCTTGAGATATAATCATAATTATCAAATTTCTCATGACAAAAAACTATACCAGATACCAATTTTCATCTAAATAATGACGATACTTCAGAAATTATTTGGAAAAAATCGAAATAAAAATGAAATTTCTACACCCTGTATCTCCGAAACTAAGCATTTTAGGACATAAGCTTATACGAACTTTGTGTAGAATATGCTGCCGAAGTTTCCGGAATATAGTTTTTTTATACAGGTTGTTAACTGGACAGTTACTTATAAGGGAACAGAATGGCAACACTGCCTATTGAGAACGCATGCACTTATAGGGTTTTCTGCCGACTCGACCCGTCGCGAGGTTGCCATATTTCAACCATAAAGCTCTTGCCGCGTGTAATAAACAAATTAACAACCTGTATACATTTCCATTGATATTTTACTTATTTTAAAAATTAAAAAATACATTCTTATTCTTTTTTAAATTAATGTTTCCTTTAATTTTCAGGTTTCCTAATTTATAAATTGTATCACTATTCTTGTGGTCGCACGAACCAGAGTAAATCAAAAAAAGAAAAAGAACAACGAAAGAAAAACAAGTAGTACCGACAGCTTTAATAAAACGTCAGTTGACTGACAAGAGTATGTACTACTATTTGGCGTAAAAATATTAAATAATTCAAATATTATGAATATTTAATTGTTTTAATTTATCTTTATGTAATATTTTTCAAGCAATGATATAGAGGTAGGGAGAAATGAGCATGAATATGCGCAGAAATTCTAATCGTCGTGACCGCCATGTTCACGCTTAGGTCTATAGGGGGAAGTCAGAAAGTAATAGCTAATAGTAAGTTTAGTTAATCTTAAAAATATAGCGTAATATATAATTAGATTATTATATACAAATGAATAATGATCTTTTTATCAAAACGATGCCAACTTTCTGAAATAGAATTTCCCAGAAAGACAAAATTCAAGGTCAAAATGTTTCCCGTATTTTTTTAAAAATTCCCACGAGTTTTCAAATCCAATATACCGGGTGTTTCTCAAAAGTGTCTCAAATCCCTATAACTTTTTATTTTTTTCAGATAAAAAAACGAGATTTATAATATGTTATATATTTGTTACAATATAGAAATATAAACGTTCGTAATCGGCTATTTAAAGAAATTATATCTATCTCTATTCTAAATTTTTGAAATTTTTATAAATATCTTTATTTAATTGTCTCTTTTTTTTTAGGTAGGTTCTCCAACTTTTTTTGTATATTACTTAACTGCAGAATATGCCATTTCTAATACTAAAATTAAATAAACTGCTCTCTTTAAAGCCATTTTACAAACTAAAAATGTAAAAAACAGTATCAAGACGCTGAACTGACGCTTCCAGCCTGAACGCGTCGACGCAACGCGACGCTCGACGCTCTCAGCCTGAACGTACCTGTAGATCTAAGCACAAAAGATTATCACCATGGCATAAGAAAAATTGTTGGATGCGCACTAGTCGAAGTTTATTTTCTCTACTTCTACATCTATGGTTTTAACCCCCGATTAGCAAATGTTATAATTTGTTATTAATTAATTAAATAAGTAATTTAAAAAGATATCCTTTGTATATTCACCCTTCAACATCAGTCACTCAGTGTCAAAAATAAATAAAATATTTCAAAAATGACAGAGTTCGAAGATGTCTTTTCTATACCTGAAAATCTCGTTTTCCCTAAAGAAATAAACGAATATTTAACCGAAAAAGTTACGGTAATTATTTCAAATTAATAAAAAATATATATTTGTATAAGATAGTTCAGGTTTTAGTACATGAAAATGGAATGCTTAGAAGAAACATACAAGACCACGAAGAAAAACACAATAAATTGGAGAAACAAATTAAAGATCTATCAAAACAGTTAAAATCTGACGAGAGTAGTCCTATTTTAGAGCGAGTTAACAAAGCTTCAAATGCGATAAACACAAAAATAGTGGAACTCAGTAAAAACTTGAGAGAAAAATGCGCAGAGCTAGAAACGTACAAAACGAAATGTTCTAAACTTTTGACCTGTATAGAAGAACTAAAGAAAAATGAAACTAAAGAAGAAATAATACAGGAGGTTCGTAAAGAGCCCGAGAGTAAATCCGAGATAAAATCTTTGCAAGACAGATTGAACGTTACGATGAATAAGTTGATGGAGGCGAAAAATGCGAATGTTCAATTGAAAAACGATTTGAAACAGGCGAATAAGTTTTTGCAACAGGAAGTGGGGGAGAATTTTGAAACGTTGCAATCGAATGGGAACTGGAAGGGAAGGGCTCAAATCATATGCGATTTGCAAGAGAAAAACAAGAAGTTAAAAGAAAAATTAAGCGGTATAGTATATAGAGCTGCAAGCTCACAGAAAACTTAAGTCTTTTTTGACTTAAATCTTTTTTTACTTAAATCATTTTAATGACTCAAATCATTAGAAAAAGATTTAAGTCTTTTAAAAGATTTAAATCTCTTTTTCCGAGTTCTCAAATATACCGTTTTTTTTCTCAAAAGTCGCTCACCCCTATAACATTTTATTTTTTCAGCTAAAAAATGTGATTTGGTAAATGACTACAACTTTAGCGTATCTATGGTAATATAATTTCGTTTTCATTCTTTGATAGATCAGTATTAACAGAATTTTAATTAACGCCATATTTTTTGCTGTTTTAAAATGTTTAAGAAGCACAAAATTTATTTAGTTCGATGCTACGGAAAGGGTGATAATAATTATCGGAAAATATGTGATACTTTAACAACATTATAAAATATGACGTTAATCAAAATCATCTATCAAAGAATGAAATCGAAATTATATTATAGTCTGTCCAACGACAAGATCCTTGACAATGATAGATGAGTCAGTCATTTTAAATTCAAAGTAGTTTATTTTATTTTACAAAGAAATAAGTTGGTACAATTGGAATGCATAGCAGGAAATTAATATATTTAATTTTTGACTGACAAGAGATTACTTCAAAATATTGTAAAAAAACTGTATAAGACTGAAAAAAAGAATTCGAGTTATTTTATTTAAAAAAAAAAACGGTATGTGTTAATACAAAACAAACGAGAACAAAACAGCACATAGGTACCAGAAAAATATAAAAAAGAACTATTTCTTACTTTCGAGTCTCAAGAAACTTTTATTTTTACCCGCATTTATTATTATATTTATCAATATAACTTATACAAACAAATACAAATTTGTAATATTCCACAGGAATTATAACACCTGCCAAATTTTATACCTTAAAGGTTGATTAATTAACTTTCATCTTAATTTTTTTTAAACCAGTACCTTTTGACATTATTTTTCTGCAGTACTAAAATCCATTATTTACCATGCACTTATCCACGACGAGATGGTCTACAAACTTTATTGATGGTAACTTTATTGGTATATAAAACTTTCTGCCTGGGCAGCGAGTATTAATTATAAACTGTGCTCTGGGTCTACAGTTAATTTTCTCTCGATTTTTCCTCCACTTGGGACTTCAAAATACACAAAACACATGTATAGTCTGTGAAACGAATAACTTTGAATTTGACAGTTCCCGCGGGCTTTTCTAGTGTTAATTTTATTAGGTTAGCAACTTGCGGCCATGCATTTTTCTGTGTTGTCTGATATTTAGAAATGTCAAAAGCTGATGACATTTTAATTTTGATAATTATGACATTTCGTGTTGATTTTTGCAAGAAGAGGAAGAACTGTCACTTGTTTTATTATTTTCCTTTTCTATTTCACGAAAGTAAAAAGAGTTACCTATCTGATTCGTTCAGGCACTGAATTTAAAGACTATCAGTAACTTTTTTGACAGAGGGATTTTATATTTGCCATGTTGGTAAAAAATAACGGTGAAAATTCAAAGTTATTCATTTTATAGACTATAATAACACGAATCAGAATTCATCATCTTTCAAAACGCAGGGTATTTGATATAAGTTGACACAAAGTTATAACCTATAATTTGACAAGACTTTGACAAGCCTCAAAAATCTAAAGGCGAGTTCATACGCATCGGCGTCCGTTTGTCGTTCATCGTTCCGTCAAATCAATAACATTAAAATTTGATCTGTCATTTTTGAAATAAACCAATAAAACTGGTTAAAAACAAGAAGAGACGACGCATGACGGATTTATATTTAAACCCATCCATAGTTAACTTAAAAAATATTAGAAACGTTTTTTAGTAAAATAAATAGTAGATAAAATTGGTATGGGACGTCATCTGCTTTTCTTCTGTCATCGTCTGTCGAACTTAACCAATCTGAGAAAAAAAAACACAGTATACCATAGAAACGCGTTTTAATATTTAGGAAAAAAATTAACTACATTTTCATGTTTTTTTTTAATTTTCTCTAAAACGGTATGGAAATTCGGAAAAGTATAAACGCGATTAACTATTTTAGAATAAGCAGCTTTACCATTATTTTCATTTTCTTGCAAATAAATCACAAAGAAGCAGCAACTTCATGTCAAATACTAAAACAATTTTTTTTCTATACTCAGAAAGTAGATTTCCCCTAAAAACCACTCCCAGCTTAGAAAGAGTCAGCGGTAAAATAGCAAGCCTAGAAAAGGAAATCGCTGACTTGAAAACCACAAACGAAAACTACAGAACGCGTTTAGAAACTCTAAAATCACGATGCATGATGCTCGAAGCGGAGAAACAAGACATGAAGACAAAAATGGGTAGGCTAGAGGAAGAAAACGAGACAAGCGCCGATTCTGCAATGGACCTGTCCAGAAAACTGTCAGAAATAGAGTCTGAGAAGAAACGAATGCAGAAGAAATGGGAGGACGAAGATGCTAGAGCTAAAAGTGAGATAAGTAGACTGCTAATGCTCAACGGGAAGTTACAAGAACTGCTAAACGGTTCTAAAGAACGTGTGACAAAGTCTAAACAAGAACCATGTCAGGTATTGTATCAATTAGGGTTTCCGGAACCGGCGATATATTTTTCAGAACAGGAAAAAATAATCTTTGATCCGTAATGGCGCAGTTTATTAATCAGTAAACAAGGGACGTTTTTAAAAGTAAAATGATTAAAAATTGAGTTTTTCTAATGAAAATAACATCAAATTATTAAGTAATCAATTATGAGGAAATTGAAAAAACATGAAAAGCGAAAAAAATAAAACATAAATAACTTTCCCATCAAATAAAATAAACCAAGTTAACTAAATTTGAAGCTTTTAAGTTTCATTCAGATCTTCGCAATTAGTGGAATAAATCAGTAGTTTCAATTAGCGTAGAAGTTTGTTCACCTAATTTTAATGTAAGCATTCAGAACGTCATAATTAGTGGTAGTAATTTTCAATCAGTGGAAAAAGTTAACAAACTTTTGACTGTTCCACTTTGAATAAGAAAACTAAGGAAGGGGCATAATGCTATCCATGTATTCATGCATGGTGAGCGGAAAAAGCACTTTAGGGTGGGGATCCTTGACAGTTGTTTGACGATTCATTTGACACATTTAAATTTGATTTGAAATTTTGTGGATTTGTCAGTCTTTACGGAGCTTATTTTATGTTATTTATTATTTATTCTACTACTGATAGTTGTATAAAGGTAGTAAATCTAGATGGAAATTGTGGCAGAACTTAAATTAACAATGACACTATCGCAATTTATCGAAAAAGACTAAAATAGTTGGTTGTGTAGCGTGCAACACAACCAATCTCGACAAAAATGTGTGAAATAATGGAACAACTTTTCGCTAGTAAGTGACTATATAATATACATACATGTAGTAAACCGATCATTTATGAAATTCACTTATATTAACTAATTATATATTTTTTCTTGCATTTTTGCTGTTATTTACTACTTGTCAAAGATTAGATGTCAAAGAATTTAGATACGTCAATTTGACTTACCTGCTTCAGTAGCGTATCGGATGTTTATGGTTATAAATAATTATTATAACTTAACTATTTTTATTAGAATTTTATATTTTTATAACAATTTTAATAACTACCAACATTTATTCACAACGTAAAATAAAAAAAAATAAGTCTACCCCACGTCTACTCTACATCATAGTTTTACATTTTTTAAATAAAATTAGAACGGCACTGATCAACCGGAATTTAAGTCGGCCATATTTGAGGCCCATCGCGGTGGACCTAAGATTTTTGATATGCTCCTTCCTTAGTCTTCTTAGTCTGTTCCACTAATTATACTTCAAAATTTGCGAGGAATGTCATTTTGGCCTTTCATTATTACCCGTCAAGAAAAATTTTGGTTAGAAATCAAAAGTTTATTGTTTTATAAGTTAAATATTATGCTTTCTCTATGGATACAATAGACTACCGCAAGCTGTTGCTAGGATAGTTTATTAATTTTAATTATGTTTTTAGACATTGTGAATGATCGTAAACTAAAAAGTATAAAGTGTAATTGAAACAACAAATTTATCTCACTAATTGGGAGGTTCTGAATGAAGCTTAAAAATTTAAGCAAATTTTTTTTAAATTTATTTAAGCTTCATTCAGAACCTCCCAATTAGTGGAATAAATTAGTGGTTTCAATTAGCGTAGAAGTTTGTTCCTTTAATTTCAATGTAAGCATTCAGAATGTTAAAATTAGCGGTAGACATTTTCAATTAGTAGAAAAAGTTATCAAACTTTTAACCTTTCCCCTAATTATACTTGCGAGAAATGTCATTTTAACCTTTAATTATCGTCCGTCAAGAGAAATTGTGGTTAGAAATCAAAAGTTGATTGTTTTATAAAGCGGCCGTCACACGATCAATAATATTGTCAATGTTTTTTATTGTCAATATTTTATCAATATTTGAAAGTTGGCCTGACACGGTCAATACATATATCAATATTAAGTTTTGTGCAGATATTAAGTCTGAATTATACCCTATGCCAAAAAAGAAGATTTAAATTACTATTAAAGATAAAAAAGCGTGTCATTTTAGCATTTTGGCAGTGAAAAAATTTAAGAAAAGACGTTATATAAAAAATGGATATCCAAAAAGAAAAAGGTTCGGCCAACTAAATCTTCTAAAGTACGTTAAGAAACGGGAGCCTGATGATTGCGATCTAAAACTGGTGAAAACAACGATGGCGATGTTCCGTCTTCCGCCATGGTTACGAATAAACTAGTCAAATTTTGTCAATCATGCGACCTAACGATCAATATATTGTCAATACGACTAGCTGCTTTTAATATTGTCGAGTATTTTCAGGATCTCGAAAATCCATCAACATATTGTTGCGGACCCGTGTGGACTCGACCTAACCTAACTATATGTCCCGCCCCCATATGACCTTAATATCGCATTAAAGAATAGACACCGTAATGATTCATTCGGACGTTCGAGAAAAATCGAGTTCCACTGGAATGGAGTAGTACATACGAGAACAATCGAAACCTTCTCTATGCACCTAACGATCTATGGACTATTCTAGAAATCTTTAGCTGTGGGTATAAAAGCCGGCGGCTGGAGCCTAAATAGGGCAGGTATAAATAAGACGAGTACAGTTGACGCGCTAAGTTCAAAATAAATTCTTTCTAGATAAATCGTTTGTAAATAGTTCTTTAAGTCTTTTATCGTTATTGTTTTTGTTAATTAGTGTTAAATAAATTGTGTTTAAATAAATTGTGACTTTCTATCCACACAGAACCGACGAAAAACGTAACAATATTGAAAGTACATCAATATGTACGCTCAAACGCTCAATAATATTGTCAATAATCCAAAATATTGACAATATTATTGATCGTGTGAGGGCCGCTTAAGCTAATTATTAGGCTTTCTCTATGGATACAACTGACTACCGCAAGCTGTTGCTAGGATATTCATTAATTTTAATTGTGGATGATCGTAAACTAAAAAAAAATCGGTCAAGTGCGAGTCGGACTCGCGCACGAAGGGTTCCGTACCATTCATTATCTATACAACATTAGACACTAGATTATTATAAACTTTTTTTCTGATTTAGCTGAAATTTTGAATGCCCGTATAAGTAATTTCAAAAAAATGAAAAAACACATTACTAAAAATTGTATTAATCAATAATAAATATGTAAAAAGTAAAAATAAATATGTAAAATTATGTAAATATTAAAAAAAAACGATTAAAAAAAGTCGCCTTGACTAGGATTCGAACCTGCCTTACTACGGCTCCAACGTCATAGCAGCGTAAAGTCCTAACGCTTTAACCACGCGGCCAGCGAGGAGTTGAAAGATTCTATGTAAAATTCTTATTTAAAAGATAATGTTTAGTGAAAGTACTTTTTTATTTATAAACATTTATTTAATTCTGTTTTTAGTATTTGTTCTTATAGCGGCAACATAGATACATTATCTGTAAAAATTTCAACTGTCTAGCTATAACGGTTCATAAGATAGAGCTTTGTGACAGACGGACAGACGGACGGACAGCGAAGTCTTAGTAATAGGGTTCCCGTCTTTACCCTTTGGGTACGGAACACTAAAAAAGTGTAATTGAAACCACTAATTTATTCCACTAATTGCGAGGTTCTGAATAAAGCTTAAGCTTTGAAACAAAAAACTTTTATTTCAGTGCAGCGTAAAGTTAAAAAACTTGAACAGGCTAGAAGAGCAAAAGAATGAACTACTGAATATGTTGGATATACAGAAAAAACGACTAGAACGAGAAAGAAATGAACTAAAAAAATGTCAACAAGCTTTGCGACATGAAAAACAAAAAGCACTGAAATTAGAAGCATCCATGACGAAACACGACTCTGATAATTGTTCAACAGTAAATAGAAATTAATTAAAAAAAGCCTCACAGAAGGGTATCTGAAAAAATAAGGTGGTCAAAATTTGATTTGACAAATGTGACCTTTTTTAAGGAACAGCAATATTATTGTTAAGATAACATATGAATACACTATATATTATGGTTTTTTTCCACCTTAAGGAATTTTTGTTTTTGTTTCCATGCCACAATACAAAACAAGCATATTTATTTGAGTTATTAAGACAAAGTTTGAAATTCGATACCTTTTGTAGTAGCTACTTTTCTTGAAAACGTTAATATGGTATTGATGAAGCAGGTAAATACTACAAATTATTAATATTCTGTTCAATATATTCGATGTAACTGTTCCTAAAAGTAAATTTACAAGATTTGACGTTTTAAATTTTAAGTAAAGCTAGGTTTTTGTTATAGTTCCGTGTATTTCCCGCCTAATTTTTTTTAAATGTAAAGATGGTAGTGTCTAGTACAGGAATTTAAAAAGTTTAGACCCGATAATATCCGATTTTCCAAGATTTTTCTTTTTAAAAAATCATGTAATTTCACACAATTATAAAACTTGTTAATTTTTATTTCGTTATTTAGGACCATCTGGCGTGAAGATATTCACCAAAAAGCAATTATTTGATATATAATGAACGAATAAGAATTGCCAAATATAACAGTTTTCTGTTATATTTCTGTTATATTCTTACTTCAACTGTGTTTTTTAGAAAACTTTTTACTTTCTTACGATGATTTCTCGGATGACGATGATTTCTCGGATGAGTAAAAAAAGAAATAAAACATAAATTTTCAAGATTTAGGGCCGAGTTTAAAAAAAATGAACAGAAGCAAGTTTTCAGAAAAATTATTTTCTCAAAAAAATGCTACGTGGCTTGAAACATCTTTTTGTTTGCCAAAAGCAGTGCCAAACATGGGAAGACCTAAAAAGTCGTTTTTTGAATTGAGTGAGAGAAGTAAAAGAAGAAAGGCCAAAGAAGTTCTTACTAAAACAGATGCCAAGTTACTTACCTTACGCGACTCAAAATGCAATTGCATGCAGAAGGATGAACTGCATCAAAGTTAGTAACTTTGATGCCAGTTCTTTGATAACAACAGAAGATCCCTCTGACGATGACGATCCATCTAATACGTTTTCTTCTGACGGGGAATCATCATCTAACTAAAAATGGACAAGGTTTTTGGGAATTTATAATTATTTTGTATTTTTTTAGAGTTAATAATTAAATTTCTTATTTTCCTCTTTCTGTTATTCTTATATTGTATTTTTTACCCATACAAATCGTGTAAATTACAAAATTTCACATTAGTTTGCTATTATTCCAAATTAAAATCAATAAAATACATTTGACCGCCTAATTTTTACAAATATTCCTCTGTGCGCCTCATTCAGAACCTCGAAATTAGTGGTTTCAATAAGCGTAGAAGTGTGTTCCTCTAATTTCAATGTAAGCATTCAGAACGTCAAAATTAGTGGTTGTCATTTTCAATTAGTAGAAAAAGTTAACAAACTTAACTTTTGCCATTAATATTATACTTCAAAATTTCAGAGCAATGTAATGTTGACCTTTGATTATTATTTGTCAGGAGAAACTGTGGTTAGAAATGAAAAGCTTATTGCTTTGGAAGCTACAACGAACTATCCCAAGCTGATGCTAGGATATTCTATTAATTTTAATTGTATTTTTTCGACATAATGAATGAAATAAATTTTTAAGTGTAAAGTTTCAATCAGAACCTCCCAATTAGTGGAATAAATTAGTGGTTTCAATTACACTTTATACTTTTTAGTTTACGATCATTCACAATGTCTAAAAAACACAATTAAAATTAATAAAATATCCCTATCCAACAGCTTGCGGTAGTCTGTGTTGTATCCATAGAAAAAGCATAATATTTAGCTTATAAAACATTAAACTTTTGATTTCTAACCAAAATTTTTCTTGACGGGTGATAATCAAAGGCCAAATGGCATTCCTCGTAAATTTTGAAGTACCGGGTGGCTAAGAATGGACGCCGGCTGTATCTCAGAAACTACTTATTGTATAACTTTGGAAAATCAATTCTAATAAATAAATCGACCAAGAGAAATCGCTGGAAATTATTTTCAAGTTCGAAAAATGTCCGCTAGGGGGCGTTTCTCTGATAGCCAATCAAAAAACAGGGGTGTTCTCAAAAATATGCAGGTGAACAGGTATTTTAAATATTACTATTATAATCAACGAGAAATTTGTATTTTTTTGATATAGAGTATTTTGCTCTATCTCATAAAATAAAGTGGTGGGGGAAAGTTAAACTTGCTTTTATTAAAATAAGGATAACTTTGGTTTAGGTTAACCGATTTAAACTAACTAGGGCTCGTTTAAAAGAGCTTTTCTTCCTTAATGATCTCGAGTATAAATTTTGTTTCCATATTTTTTTCGTGGTAGCTAGAGGGCGCTGTTTGACATCATAACAGATACTTCGCCTTTGCATTCTTCAAGATAGAAAGTTGTGGTTTGCGCTGATATTTTGGAAATTTTGTGCTCTATTTAACTGTGCAAAAAGAAATATAGCCTTCTATTTAATTTTTTTATGCAAAGGCGAAGTATCTGTTATGATGTCAAACAGCGCCCTCTAGCTACCACGAAAAAATTATGGAAACAAAATTTATACTGGAGATTATTAAGGAAGAGAAGCTCTTTTAAACGAGCCCTAGTTTGTTTAAATCGGCTAACCTAAACCAGAGTTATCCTTATTTTAATAAAAGCAAATTTAAACTTCTCCCACCACTTTATTTTATGAGATAGGGCAAAATACTCTATATTAAAAAAATTACAAATTTCTCGTTGATTACAATAGTAATATTTAAAATACCTGTTCACCTGCATATTTTTGAGAACACCCCTGTTTTTTGATTGGCTATTAGAATTTTTTTCCCAAAGTTACACGATAAGTAGTTTCTGAGATACAGCCGGCGTCCATTCTTAGTTGGCCACTCGGTATAGTTAATGGAAAAGTTTGTTAACTTTTTCCACTAATTGAAAATTACTACCACTAATTATGACGTTCTGAAGGCATACATTAAAATTAGGCGAACAAACTTTTACGGCTAATTGAAACTAGTAATTTATTCCACTGATTTCGAGGTTCTAAATGAGGTTTAACTTTATAATAAGAATATTGGTTTCTGTTTTTAGAGCAGATCAAGTTACAGTAATTTGTGTCAGTCATCTAGATTAACTGAACAGAATTTGACAGATCGTCTGCAACTTGCTGAAGAAAACATCAAAGCGCTTCAAGCCAAATTGGCAATGGAGCAGTTCGAAAAAGAGGAAGACTTCCAACAGTTTTCGAAAATACTTAGACTATGTAAACTCGAACAAAATGAATAAAAAAAAGTTTTAAATAATATAGATGAGAGAACATTTTAGTTTTAATTTTTATGAAAAATCTTATTTGTACTATACTATAAGTAATCACTGATATTTACCACTTCATATATGATCACAAGCCATGTTCATTTCATAGCCATCGCTGACGCCGTTTTTTTTTCGATCGTACGGTAATATATTGTTTTATTAGGAGTAAAAATGACATTTTTTGCGGCGAGGCTGTACGTTTGACATACAGGCGAAGCAAAAAGTAATTTTTCCTCGGAATAAAACATGCTATTTTTTTTCAAAGGCCACAAATAAGTTTTTAAACAATTTCAAACGTTCCAAACAATACAAGGTTGTTCACCACATACGACACGGAGTATTGTAGCTAAACGACTAGATTTTTACAAATTGTAAGTTTTGGGTTCGTTGAAGAACTACAATTTAAAAATATTTTTACAAGATACAGAGTGTCCCAAATAAATAGAAAATATCAAAGTTGTATTTTTTTAAATGGAACACTCTATATATTATTACATATTTAGATTCTACGATTAAAATAAAGGTAAATTTGATTAAGGTTTATTCCACTTAAACCTTACCGTTTTTGAAATATTTTCAATTTTGTGAAATTACAGTATAAATTTTAAGGCTTTATTTCTCCGAGGGTATCAAAATTTTTCATACTAAATATTTACTGAAGTTTATTTATTGATCAGTTATTGTGTTGCAATAATAAAAACTTTACTACCTTATACAGAGTGTCTAAAAATTTATTTTAAATAATTACTAGCTTTAAACGGCAATAACTTGTTCGATTTAAATGGAACACCCTGTATATTTTATGAATATCAAATGCACAATTTAATTGTCTATCAAATTGTTTTTTACCGTTTTTTACCTATCTCTTCAAGTTTCCGTAGAAAATGCATTTTCTTGTAATTTAGAACTCATTTATCAATATGTCCATGGAATACTGACATTTTAGATTATTTTTAAAGATGTACCAAATTTTTAAAGAGTACAGATACTAATGTTGTCGATATAGTTCCTTTATTTCATTAAAAAATAATAAAAAAACTGTTTAAATATTTGTTAAAAAGGACCAGTTAATATGATTCCAGTATTCAAACTACATTAATTGACTGTTTGCGTTGATTAATAATAATTGCTCCAAATACTGAAAAACTGAATTGTGTATGTGTATTAGACAGTGTGGTAAAAAGTAAGTAATACCTTAAGAATGATATTTAATTTTTTGACAAATGCTTATTTATAACAACAGAGACGTCCATTTTCATAACTTATTATTATATTGATTTCTGATTCAAATCCACATTTATTTAGAATAAGTCATTAACGAACACAATTAAGTATATAGTTAATTAGTATTTGGGCGGAAATACTGGTGGTATATTTAATTAATGGTATACTCTTTTATAAAGATTTAAATAGTTTTCTTTTTGCATACAAATGGGCTAGTAATATTATCGTTTTACTAAAAACGTACCTTACTATCCTGTACATTTTGTACATTTGTTGTTTTAAAAACAATCTAAAATGTCAATATTCCATGGATATATTGATAAATGAGGTCTAAATTATAAGAAAATGCATTTTCTAAGAAAAATGGAAGGAATAGGAAAGAAGTAGTCTAATACAATTTGATAGACAATTAAATTGTGCATCTGATTCTCATAAAATATACAGAGTGTTCTATTTAAAGTAAATAAGTTATTGCCGTTTAGGTAGTAATTATTTAAAATAAATGTTTAGACACTCTGTATAAGGTAGTATAATTTTTATTATTGCAACACAATAACTGATCAATAAATAAACTTCAGTAAATATTTAGTATTAAAAACTTTGATATCCTCGGAGAAATGAAGCCTTAAAATTTATACTGCAGTTTCGCAAAATTGAAAATATTTCAAAAACGGTAAGGTTTAAGTGTAATAAACCTTAATCATATTTACTTTTATTTTAATCGTAGAAACTAAAAATGCAATAATATACAGGGTGTTCCATTGAAAAAAGTACAACTCTGATATTTTTTATTTATTTGGGACACTCTGTATCTTGTAAAAATATTTTTAAATTGTAGCTCTAATAGTCCTTCAACGAACCCAAAACTTACAATTTGTAAAAATCTAATCGTTTAGCTACAATACTCCGTGTCGTATGTGATGAACAACCCTGTATAAACAGATTTAAAAGGCATACCTTGTATGTAATTTTATATCGAGAAACTATGGTTAGGCTCGTTGAATTTGACACTTTATGTCAGTTTAATAATATATTTTCGTACTTCTATGCTTAGGCGTAAAAGTGCTTTACTTTTATGCCTAGGCGTTAAAATGACTTTTTTATATTGTCAATCACGTCGCTAGAACTAACACTTTTGTGGCGTTTGAAAAAAAGTATTTTATACCACAAAAATACCGCCTAGTAAGATGACGTCACTAAAGCTTACCTATGAAAAATTAGGCCTTCATATTTCCGTTGGTGATGTTTTATCCAAAGCAATGACAGCCATTGTAACCCAACCAGTTGAATTATTTTCTTGTGTATACTATTGTTGTAAAGAAGTAATTACTCCTAATATTTTTCCTGACATTTCGGGAATTTATACAACTTTTCAGTGCTGCAGATTCATTTCTTGACGGTCGCGGTGTACCGAAGCCTTGCAACGTTGCCACCTATACTATCCACTTTCTGCATATTGTTAATAAGCTGACACTAATTTGAATTTTCTACACAACAAAATTGGAAGATTAATTTTATTTATATCACCGTTCATTTCTAATAATTCTAGAAAAAATGCAGACTTAAAAAAAACATTTTACTTACACTAGTACTATACGATCGAGAAAAAAACGGCGTGAAGAACGGCTGGGAATTAGAATCGATGAGAATTTTGTCGAGGTCAAGCCCTAGACGTCATTTACTTGTACCGTGCTCTTTTCTTCAATTTTTAATAGCGCTTACTGCTAGTTGGCCTTAAAGGTGCGTTCACACCGGCTGCGCCGCTCCGCGCAAAACATTTTTTAACATGTACTTTTGAAGTGTATTTTTTTAGCGCGCACAAAAATATATGTTAAAAAAATGATTTGCGCGGCGCATCGGGTGCGAACGCACCTTAAGAAGCTGTAATTTACTACTATACTGAGGAAACATAATTTTTTAATAGTGTAGTTTAAAATTCGAGAAAAAATGATTCCTGAAAATAGATTTGTGGAAACGTTCTATCCTTTTTAGTCTTTTTAGAATTAGAATTAATTTTTGACAAGTTTAATGTTAATTTTCAGTAAATGACGTCGAGAGATTGAACTCGCCAAAATTATTATCGTCATTCCCCAGACGTCTTTGACGCAGTTTTTTTTCGATCACACGGTACTTTTTTGTTATTATAAAAAATAAGGTACAGCTGGTTCCAAAAAAAAATGACTACGACTCTTTACACATTTTTTTCGAATATTTGGGCAGTGTATATTTATGTGTCAAGTATTTTGACATTTTAAGGTTATTGTGACATTGTATAAAACAACTTTGCTTTTGATAAAGTGGCAAATAAATTTTTCAGAACGTCAGCATGGCATGAGTAGAGAAATGGGGGACTGGTATGATAGAATATACTGCCCGAAATAATAAAAATATGTTTTAAATCGTATTCAATTTTATTGGAACCAGCTGTACCTGTAAAACCTCTCGAATGCTGTGAAGGTTTGAGAGTTGTTTTTAAGATAAATATACATTTTGTACATGTGGCAACACAGAAATTAGTTACTTATTTTTTAGAATAAAAAAATGTACTATTTTTTCATTTTAAAAAATAAGGAACTTAGCAATTTTCAATTTAATTTAAAAATGGCAAATAAAAAAATATTTGTCCAGATTTACCGTGCCTTCAAATACATACTTGGATTTATTCATAAGACATTCTGTATATTTTTTATATGGAATTGGAAAGTGAAAAGGTTACTTGGTGCTTTGAAAATATTGATAAAAATCTCTGAAAATATTTTTTAAACAATAATAATTTAAAAAAAAAATAGAGAAAACAGCTTATAAGAAAAACAAATCAAAAATTTAACAATAATAATTGTTTATTAATCTACAATTTCAACTCACTATAAAACGATATAATGTTTTTCAAAAATACATATACATATTTTTATTTCACTGAAAAAAATTAGGTATACAATATTATAAAGGCACTATTAAATCTACGGTATTAGATCTGTAAGTGGTTTTTCGGTTTGCTTTTAACAAGTAGTTCGTATGTACCATACAATAAAAAAACGGCGTAAGAGATGGCTTGGAAATGAAAATCGCTGTCGTTTTATATGTAAAATTATATGTGGAATGCCATCGATTGTCATTTCCAAGTCAATTTTACACCGTCTTTATTCGATCATACGGTAACGTCTTATTCAATTGTTTGTATAGGGATAGTTATTAATTCTAAACCAACCTATCACAATACAAGGCATTTCACACATTTCTTCATTAAAAGTATTATAGAATTTAATGTTTTGCCAATTTAATTTCTTAAAATCAAAGTCTATCCAAAGAGTCAGGAAAGATATAGACAGGCAACATTCAAAAAATGACAGACAATAATGTACGTGTTAATTAAGATGACATATAATAATTGTAGCCAGTTTTGCGCTGCGGGTAAATACCCAACGGGTAGATAAATAAAATCTGGGTATATACCTCGTATACTAGCCCTGGTCACCATCTGCGTGGTCAGCATTTTAATGTTATGACAAACAGAGAGAAAATAAAAAGCGGCACAGTGTTGCCGGTTTTTACGTTTGTAGGAAAATGTGTATAAAAAAATTATAAATTCAAAACTTTCACGTATATTCCTGAAATCAATATAATACATCTAAGCTAAATAACATTTAGCTATAACCTATTACAGCTGTATGTAGTAAAATGAGTAACTAATTGTGAAAAATAAAGTTCGAACATAATACATAAACGCCTACTTGTGCTGTTTGAAATTTTGATGCAAAATCCGGCAATACCGCATAGAAGAAATGTACCAACCCAACGTACATTATACTTATACAGGTTGTTAATTCGACAGTTACTTATAGGGGAACAGAATGGCAACACTGCCTATTGAGAACGCATGCATTATTGATTTTTCTGCCGGCTCGTCCCTCGTCCCGTCGCGTCGTCTATCGACGAGCGGGCCGAGGTTGCCATATTTCAACAGTAAAGCTCTTGCCGCGAGTAACAACCTGTATACTTTGATTTTCCAGTAAGCTGTTATGGAACCTCTCATTGGACAGACTTTACACTTATAGGAAATAGCATTGTATCCATGGGAAAAAGTTATCGTAAAAATATATCAAAAACTGTTGGAATTAGGTATATACAAGTCTATAAAGTTTAGTACTTCTATTTTTGACGTCGTATAAAATAAAAAGAACAAAAATGTAAATATATATTCGAAATAGACAACTTTTTATAGATTTTTGATTTTTTTAATTTAATTAAAGTAAAATCTTTTTTTAGAGACCTCAATATAACTTTGTAAAAATATTATCAATAATAAAAAATGTATAATTTCTGCGCTGCAGTTATCATTCTTGACCATAAAATTAAAATTTTTCAAAAACTTAAATATAAAACAATATACACAAAATTTGTTTAGAATTTTATGTAAAATCTAAAAAAAACGTATAATATACGGATGGTTCTATTTAAAATGTGTAAAATTTGCACCAAACAAAAAATTGCAAAAACTCCTTGCATATGCATAACCTTGTATATAAATTGTTGTATATAAATAAATTAGATCCTAAAATACTTTTAATGACGGGTCTTGTGTATAAGCGAAACATAACGAATATTCACCCTGAAGTACAGTTGTCAAGCGAATCGATTATACCTAAATATATATAAAAACTCCAGTATTGCTATAACTAATACGAATAACTCACTCGACTGGTTCTGTACTAGGAAAGATAAAACAAATTTAAATACACGTAACACCTACCGCTCTATATATAATTACTACTATATTTATATACGATATACAAAATAAACAAAATCGTTTAGTACTTAAAATGCGATGTAATAGAATGTAAAGCCTTTTTAGAACAATATATAAGTTTATACAGAGTGATCTAATCGAAAAAGTACCACTCAAGGTTTTCTGTTTGAGATTTTTCATACAAGTTTTTCTACGTCTACACTCTACACCGAGTTTTTTTCCGACTGTTGGTAGTTTTGACTCGCCCTGTATGTACTATATAGGACATAGGGTACTTTAGTAGAATTTGATAAATATACACAATGAGAAAAAAATATATAGGACTCACTATAGACTCTATACAGGGTGTCCCACTTAAGATGGATACAGGCCAATATCTTGGTTGTTTGTTGAGCGATCTTTTTCATTTTTGGCAGAAGGTTGTATGGCTATAAGACGTACATTTTGCTCAGGGTAAGAAATGCGATACCTCATAGACGTACGTTTTAAAGGGGTTTGATATTTTTCGAGTCAAGAGTAAACTACCCTTAGGACAGTATTTATTTCAAATCTGATAAATTATATTCAATCCTCCTTACCTAAGATACTTAAGCTCTAATTTTGATAGATATTGATACAGGGTGTGTCATTAAAATAAGACGTTTTTATTTTTATTATTTTTTTAAGTACTTACGACGCCACGGGATAAACAACTGGTTTATTATCAATAACCAATTATAACCATTTATCAATTAATAATCGTTTTTTTTTATTGTGGTTTGGTCGAAGATGTTGACTTTTAGTTCGTTATAGTTTTATAAATCTTTGTTTAGAGCATATTTTTCAAAGTTAATAGTGATTGTTTTAAATATCTAACTATTTGGATTTTTTAAATTATTCCTCAATAAAACGAATAAAAATCATATTTCAGATTCCATGAAAACTGGGTTTTTAAATTATTTTGTAACTGATTTTATTCATTTGTATTAGCAAACTTAAAAAACAATTTTTTAAAGTAAACAAAATAAATTGAAAAAATATAGTTTTTTTGTATAGTATCTTAATTATTATGGAAGCTATCTGAAAACTTAAATCGATTATTAATTGATAATTGGTTATTGATAATAAATCTGTTGTTTATCCAGTGGCGTCGTAAGTACTTAAAAAATAATAATAAAAATAAAAATGTCGTATTTTAATGACGCACCCTGTATCAATATTTATCAAAATTAGAACTTAAGTATCTTAGGTAAGGAGGATTCAATATAATTTATCAAATTTGAAATAAATACTGTCCTAAAAGTAGTTTACACTTGACTCGAAAAATATCAAACCCCATTAAAACGTACGTCTATGAGGTATCGCATTTCTTACCCTGGGCAAAATGTACGTCTTATAGCCATACAGCCTCCTGCCAAAAATAAAAAAGATCCCTCAACAAAAATCAAGATATTGGCTTGTATCCATCTTAAGTGGGACACCCTGTATATGATTAGCGTAACCAACACGATACAAGCTTATATTAACTCAGTAAGTAATAAAATTAATGCTATAATCGCCTGTATATTTTGTAAAAAAAGATTGAAGCAAAAATCTCCAATATCAAACCTAATATGGCACATTTTGGAACCAGTGGACCACCCTGTATATATAGATAATAAAAATATTAGCAACAGTACACATTATACAGGACTGTACAACTAAAAGGTAGCAACCATTGTTGATTTTTTTAATAAAAAGAAAATTATCAATGATGGACATTTCAGTTGGACAACACTGTATAAATGTTTTAAGTTTTAGTTAGATTGCTTTTGTAATCAGAAAAATAAACTACAACAGAGCAGTCACAAAAGCATTAGACAGTACTCATATTGCTCTTAAAGTTATAACTAGCACCAGAACTGTCTGATACAACAATATAGCTTGTAAAATAGCTAATATATTCTGTAAAAAGGTTTGTTCGTACAAGTCTTTTTATTTTCTAGTTTTACAACCACTAAAAAACTGTCTCGGTTACAAATTTTCAGTCTCCAATATTAAGACAAGATTTTTCTTAACTAAATGCACTTGGGAATGATTTTTTTTTAATAAAAATATCGAAAAATAAAAGAATAATAAAGGTTGTGAGGTGTAAAAATTAAATGTGATGAAAAAATATAGAAAAAACATTCTTTGAATATATAATACAACAGTAAGATAATAATAGATCATGGATGGTTATAATTTAAGGTGAGACATAAAACGTGTTTAAAACTTTTAATTAAAAAAAATAATAATTTGAAAGGCAAGTTTGAAGCTGGCTTAATTACTGTAGGCAAGTACAAAAATTCAACATTATCCACAATCTATTATCTCTATAGATATATAAAAAAAAACACTAGATATTTAAAGCTTCTAAAAAGTAGTTCACATAAACCGAACTTTTTTGATCTTACAAAATGCTTTAAGTACAACATATTTTACGAGGGGTAAACCGCAGAGGGAAAAGTGTACACCGTAATTCCTTTTACTCAAATAATTCCTCAGAATTCCTCGTAATTCCTTCGGAATTCCTTAGAATTCCTGGTCTTCGAGGTCAAGGTCAATCATTCAAGGTCTTCCTTGGTATTCCTTGGTACGAACTCGGTAACTCTTTCAGTCTGAACCAGCGTTGCCACCTCGGTTTCGCAGTTCCGCTATGAATTTTCTGGTGATTTTTATAAATGTCTAATGTCTCTATAAGTACTAGATCTAACAATAAAAAGTACTATTACGAGATTTACGTTTTTTTAGTTAAATTTTAGTACCAATAGGGGATCATGAGGTAAAAATACTGGAAATATGTCGGCACTTACTTATTAAAATTAATTTTTCTCGGGATTTTTTGAAAATGAGAGGTACCTAGTTATACTCGTATCTATAGGAAAGGAAATTAATAAAACTTCAGTTGCACGTCATAATACGATCACCAGTAAATTCCATAAGATTACGCATGGTATCATTGATGAAGTGCACCTAAAGTTGTATTAATTTTCCTATAGTATATACCTAGGTATTATTCCGAGGAAATGAAAAAATCAACTTTACACTTTCTGGAGTACTGAATAAAAAAATCTTATGAGGATTTCTTTAAAATGGCGAAATCAGGGAACGTTATAACTAGATCTCTCGGGGGTGGTTCGGCCGTACTATTGGAAAATATTTTAGATATATAATCGAGGGTACAATATTAAATTAAAAGAATATCTAACCTGTAGATATTTGATATTGGGAAATTTTGGAAGCGAAAAGAAAAACGGATAGTAAAAAAAGTCGCCTGCAAAACGTTTTTCTTTAAATTTAGTTACTATCTATTATAGTATTCATGGTTTGCTAATGTTCGTTAATTTTATAAAGTTGCTTTGTAATTCCTCTTAATTCCTGTGGAATTCCTCTAAATTTCTAAGGAATTCCTTGGAATTCATTGGAATTCTTACGGAAATAATTGGAATTCCTAGTAATTCCTATGGAATTCCTTGGAATTCCTCGTAATTCCTTGGAATTCCTGTAGAATTCCTTCATAGTGTACACCATAATTCCTCTGCGGTTTACCCCTCGATATTTTATAAAGCATTTCCAAAAAAAATATTGAGAAAAATAATAAAAATAATTTTAAAACGCCCTATATATTGGGCTAACTTGATTATTATATTTATTCCACTGAACTCAATATAAAAATATTTCTCTGATGTTGCAATTTTTTTTTGAATGTCAAGGTATAGTGACGAAAATTTTGCAGTAGTCCAAATGCATCACACTATTTTCAAAAACAATTTTAAATATAAAAAATAAATAAATTACATTCTTTACCAGTATAATCCAAAGACTGTCTTAGAAACTATAAAGCATGGGTCATCAGTAATAAAAATAAGATTAGGTTTTCAGTTTTTTTTTTTTTATGTATGTACAATGGCAAGTACAGCGAAATTGGATGATATTGGAAAAAAACTAACCTAATTTTAAGGTACTATGTATGTACAGTTATCTTTATAATAACGTTGATGATGTATATCTGACGTATTCGAAAAAAAACACAAAAGAATTCAAATAATTGGTCCCCCTGTATTATGTAACTATTGCACAACCAAAATGATTTTTGTATTATACATCAATCACTATTTTTTTATGCTTAACTTACATTTAATAAAAATAGATAATAAATAAGTGGTATTTCTATGAGTATTAGAAAGACTACCTAGGTCGATAAAAATAAATCTACCAAAACAGTATTAATACAAAAATCGTTTTAGAGAATGTAGTATATGTTACAGTAAAAGTTGGAAATCAGTTATTGTTAACAATTACTAGTAAAAGCTCACATTCAATGATTTGCTAGGACTACGTTAGTAAAAGTTAAACAGCTATTTTTGAAACCAACTTTTACTAGTGAATTACCGTCGTTGCCACATGTTGTAAAATATAAAGATAAATAAGGATAAGTTGAATAATAGGCAATATAAGGGTAACATTAAATTGAGCTAAACGTTGACAACGTTGACAGACATCTGGCGTAAATTCGCTTTGTTTTTTGTGGTTATGTATAATTGTTGTTTTGTTATCCTTGTAAAAAGTGATGTGCAGTATTTTCCCTATGGAGGAACTTTTCTGTGAAAAATTAAGGCAAACTAGGCACTCGCAAGAATGTAAAAGTGCTTGTTTTTTATTTTTGCAATATAATGAAGTTATAGCAAAAGTTAAGCGTACAAGAGAAAAAGATATTAAGGAACCTAGTGACTATGAATTTATTAAACGTTTTGATATGCTCGAAGTAGCGGATTTTTTTGTATACTTTATTTTGTCCACAATGAAAAACTTTATTAAAAAAAAACCTTGTACACAATAAGTAATCTTATATTTATCAATGTTTTTTTTAATTGTTTTGTAGGCTTTAAAATGTTTACTATGTTTTCCCTTTTAATATTTAGAAGGTTATTTTCTATATTTTTTAATAAATATACTAAAGAAGTAAATTGTAATTTTAAGATATGTGGACAGCTTGAATATTGGTGATCCAATATTCTTAAACATTTTATTTGTTCTAACTTCCACCAACATTTTTCCACACCACACTCGCCCTGTACAATAGAATAACTTTTACTGGCAACCTTTAGTAAATGTTACTTTCACTATAGTGAATGTTAGAAATTACTAGGAAAAGTCGACAAATCTCTTTAAAATACCACATTCACTGGTCCAATGCGTTTAAATTGTTAGCATTTCCTAGTGAATGTTAACAATCACTGACTTTCACTGTAACATATACATAATATGATATGTTTTAGTATTGCCTTGATTAATGTTTTTACCAATACCAAAATATACCGGTTGTATTGTGACAACTAACTTTTGATCCCGGTATGTAAAGTTGGGGATTTTCAGAGTTAAATGTTGGCTAACTGGACGTAGTTGGCCGGTAACATTCCCACCTGACCTGTGCGCTGCACTTGGCCTGTCATCCAACCCCTGTCAATGCTACTGACGTTGATGATCAGATCGCCGTCAATGAAGCTGACCTCGTCCTCGTCTTGTGCTTCGTAGTCGTACATAGCCCTAAGTATGACAATTATTAAATGTTAATGTTATCGTAAGATGCCAAAAAAGCTATTTGGCATTACTTGAGTATTTTAATAGATATTTACGATACAAGTGAGTTAACAGCATCATTAAGATACGCGTGTGAAAGTTGCACGAGTGCGTAGCACGAGTATAACCACACAAGTATCTTAATGGAGTTAACTCGCGTGTATTGTACAATATTTTATCTACGTCTAACTATAAAAACACACAATGAATTCAGTGGCGGCTCGTCAGGTGCAGTAGGTGAAGGGGCACTTCACCGAAAAAAATACTGAAATTAAAGAAAAAACTTTACTGGATTTAGTTTAATATATTTACATGTATCTAAATAAAAAAATGGTAATTTTTTATAATTTATTTTTTTTCTGGGCGGACCTCTGCATAATAGGTCCAGCGCTTCGTTAATTCCTGCCGAAAAAGTAGCATTATCAGCCCGCACGCGCCTACGTTTCCACGAAGCCACAAGGGAAGTAAAAATATTTCTGAGCCGAGCGGCTGCACGGTTTCCATGGTAACGTGACGTCAGCCTAGCGGCAGCATGTGAATTCCCCGCCCCGAATTTTTTTATTGGCGACCGATGTGAATATGTGAATGAGTTTTTGGGCAGTTCGCTTCGTCTTCATTTATGCTAATATTCGGCTACTTCGGCGAGTAATTAACCGTGTAAAGACTGTAAAGTTGTTGTTGATTATTTATTGTTGTTTGTTATAGGTTTTTGTTGATTTAACTTGTTAATTTTTGCTGTTTGTTTTGTTGTTGTGTTTTAAACCTGTTTTGTGTGTGTGTGTATGTGTTGAAAAATGAACCCAATCAATGACTTGGTGTGCAATTTATTGGAAACTCCCTTCAGACGGTGGACAGATGAAGATAAGAGGGATGTTTTATCCAACTGAATCTTTATCCATAAATAGCAAAAAAGAAATAAGAAAAAGTGGTAAATCTTATAATGTTACATTTAAGTTTTCCTGGTTTTCTGCTTTTAATTGGCTATGTAGCTAATATTGTTTAGTAAACATTAATGTAATAATTGAATAATAATTGAATGATTCCTCGGTTGTAACCAACAATTTTTTCAATATCGAAATTTCAGAGAAAAAACCGAGAAAAAAACGTTATACCTATGAAAATTACAACCTTATTTCACTGAATTCTCTATTTTGAAAAAAATGTCGGGTACAACGTTTTTCGGGGAAGCCCTTCAATAATTACATTATTCGCCATAAAGTTGGATCCATATGGACGGTTTTTTTGGTATTAGAGTTTAAAAAAACTTTTTGTGGCAATCAATTCTGCTTAAAAAACAACTTAAAATGCCCCAAGTCAAAGGTGAAACAAAATTTTGTTAGTCACCTTTTACACCTTTTTACAATTATTATTTTAATAATAATTTAACCAATTTTTAAAAATTTCTTTTAAATATTTTGTATTTGACAGCCTCCAGATGTTAGCTGTCAACTTTGACTTCGTGCATTTTAAGTTGTTTTCAAAGCAGAAGTGATTGCCACAAAAAGATTTTTTAAAACTCTAATATAAAAAAAAACGTCCATATGGATCCAACTTTACGGGGGACACTGTATATAATGTTTATTATATTTAATTTAAATTTAATTATATTTTCACTGGAATGCAAAATAATGTGTTTATCGAAAACTGGTTGTATCTTGTATCTCTTTTTACTTAATATTATAGGTATTAGTGTATAAATAATAAAAAAAAATGTTGACAAAATGGTGAACGCAGCAAAAATTTTTCAAATAATATTTTAAAAAATGTTGACAAAATGGTGAATGCGCCAAAAAAACTTTCGCCTGTGGCGCAATTTAAAAAATTAACTCCACCTAATTTTATACCCACGAGCCACCACTGAATGAATTATAAAAATTCTTGTATTTAAGTATATACCTATCCTAAAAATCAATTACCTTAATACCTTTGTTCAAATAACACCATGCATGGCAATGTCAATATGACAGTAAATAATATGGATGTCACTAGTTTAAAAAATTAGCGATTCGGAAAGTATTCCTTCTGACATTGAAGAAGAGGCATTCAGGGCCATTTCTGGATTGCTTCCAGCAAGATCAAAACAGAAGTATGAATATACATACTCTAAGTATGAAAAATGGTGCACCGAAAAAAAGTACACAACTATAGAAATGAAAAGGTCCTCATAACATAATTTTCCAATTTATCCGCTACTTATAAGTCTTCGTCTGTTTGGGCTTTCTATTCAATGATATGTACTATGATATCTATTAAAATGAATATATATTCTTCATCAAGCATTTACTTGAAAGATTGTTCAAACTGTATCATTAACATTTATAATAAATAAGTTTTCATGTTATTATAATTATTATCAATAGAACAGTTTATTTGTATTTAGTGCAAAATAAATGTTTTACAAAATATTTTTTCTCTTTGATAGTCATCTAAACAAGGAGTGCGGTAATGAAAATGCGTGAGTTAAGAAGCTCTTAACTCACTCAAAATGCGTGAGTTAAGAGCTTCTTAACTCACTGACGTAGATAAAGATATATAATTTCTTCTTCGTTTTATTAGATTTTTAAGTTTCTTACGTTTATAAGAGCTTCTTGCGGTATTTTACAACAAATCGTAAAACAAGAAAAGAGACAAGTAAAGTCCAGCTACTTTTGGGATTTTTTCTGTGCCAATGTGACAATTTTTGGAAAAAAATTAATGACTGTTTTAAAAAAATACATACAGGGGTCAGCTGGATATAGCCATCATTTATTGTTATTTCACAGGACACTGTGACGTAGATTTTTTATGCGACAATGCGGTAACAAAAATATAAAATTAATGTTTTAATAAAAAAATAATTTTAAATTTTTAATTTAATTAAAAATTTAATTAATGTTTATAAACAACCCAGGAATTTAATAAGACATATGTTTATGCAATTTAATAAACAAGGAAATTTTTATATATTTATATATCATTCAACTTGCAGCTGCAGGCTCTATGACCTTGAACCTTGTTATTAAAATTAATATAATCTTTGTTCCGCAAAATTCGTATATTATTTTACCAACCAAAATTCCTAATAAAATTAATAAATAGTTATTTATTCACGCAAACTTTCTAATTTTAAATATTCAATTATTTTATTACTTTATTTATTATTCACTAAACTGCTATAAAAATAATATACTATAAAAAACACGTTTTAAAAACTATAATTGAAATAAATTTCAATAAATGTCGCTGGGTAATATTTAATAATAATTTTATTTCATTAAATTATTAATTCGAATAGGAATATATTATCAAATCTGCACTAGTTTATAACGTATGATCGAAAAAAATGGCGTCCAGTTGATCTTCATTTCATAGCCATCGTTGACGCCGTTTTTTCTTCGATCATACGGTATAGGGTTTCCGGAACCGGGAACTTCGGTATCGCGCCTCTTAGGAACCGGGATTTCCCGTTTTTTTCGGTACTGGCTAATTTTTCTTCAATGGTGGTGCAGTTCATCAATCAGAAAGCAAGGGATGGTTTTTCAAAGTAAAATGGATAAAAAATTAAGATTTTTAATGAAAATAATATCAAATTATTGAGTAATCAGTCATGAAAAAATTAGCACGAACACAAGTAAAGAAAAATGTATAAGTAACTTAAATTTCACATTAAACAGCATAAACCAACTTAAATGAATTTGAGACAAAAGCCCTAATTAACTAACTAGAATTAAAAATGCAAATATCTATTAAAACATAACATAATAAATATTATAGGAACTTCAAAAGAGAAAAGAAGCAAGAACAATAAGAAATAGCATCATTACTTATTTAGGAGAGTTTGATTTTGATCGCTAGAAAGTATCAAAGAACTTTCTTACGTAACAAAAAAATAATTTTTTAATTATTGTTACCGAGACCCGGTCCTGTCATGGCCAAAAAGATCTGAACCCTAATTGGGAGTATTAATTAGAGTTTCCAGAATTCTACTAAAATATTTTCGTTCAACGATTATGGAGTTCGTTAATTAGAGCTCGAACTCACTGACGACCAGGCCGCAACGACCTGGTAGTCGGCTGGCCGGATGTATTGCGTACATAGCTGCGGCCAGATGAACGACCAGTTTCGGCAGGGATGTCAGATCTAACGATTTTTTACGTTTTACCAATAAGAAAATTTTGTTTTCGGAAATGTTAAAATATCCGAGTTAACTAAAAAGCGAAGTTCCTATTCGTGAGCTAATTAAATGTTCTTATATTAAATAAAGTAATGTATTTCTTCAAAGCCATACCGAGCGAAAATCACAAAAGAACTACGATATGCGGAGACAAAACTGAATAGAATATTTTTTAAGCAAATTGGCCCGTCTCACAGTGCTTCGTCCCATGGACAAAAATCAAAAAATAAGTTAAAATTTACTAATATCTGAATATATAATTTTATACTTATAGCAATGTTCAACCATCCTGTATATTATTTTTCATAAACAGCGTTTTTGTTAGCAAATATTTTCACTAAAAATAAATTTTGCGATCATTATCTCATCAGTGTTAAACAAGGTATGTACTTTAAATTTATTTCTAAACAAGTTCGTGATTGTTTAGTTTTTATTTATTTTTAAGATGATTCTTAAATGGGTATAAAAATTTTACGTTTTCAAACTTCAAAAGGCATTTAAAAAACATATCAAAACATATCGTATTTATTGAATATTTTTGTTGCCATATTCATATACTTTTAATTTTTGTATAGTTCACCTGCGTCTGCTTGCGACGAACTTTATTTTATAATACTTTTCAGATGGAGTAAAATTGATAAGCAATGCCGATCTGGCTAATACTTGGCTTGATCATAAGGACAAGAACTCAAAATTATTTGTATTTCAAAAAATATGTTCTTATTAGATATTGATGAACCTTCCAGTCAAATGAGACACCACTTTTGAAAACGTCGCATAAAAAGTGTCCATCTTTCAATTTATTATAAAATCTCATACCCAAGAAAAGGAAAAATAATATATGGATATGGTCTATTAAAGAGGTAACTATTAACATCCGAACCCCTCATACCGACAAAATGAACAGTAACAACGCGAAAAAGTAACATATTAGAAAATGATGTACAGAAATATCTTATATGTGAGGATACTTCATCTACCTGTGATTTGGATACTATAAATTTGGAAAATTCTGTCAGCAGTGATTCTCCTGAATCAGAGTAGTTACGATCTATGCATTTTGTTGTCCTAATGTAAATTTATAGTATCTTAATTTTTTTTTAATTAAATATAACATTAATGTTTCTTTTTAATTAAAGAAAAACATTTTTATCTTATATTAGGCTTATATTGTAGGAATCATGTTCTAATGTTATTCCAATTCTTTTTTATCATAGGAATTTATTTAATACTTACTCCGTTATCATACTATAACTTATTATTTGCTTAGATGGAACACAGCTCCAACATTATTATTATTTAGAAGATTTTTTTTTCATAAACGTGGGACTAAGAACATCATCATTTAGTACAATGAGAGTACTCATCATTTTTGTCAAATAAACCTAGTTTGAATAAATTGCTAACAATAAAAGAGAAGTTTTGGATTTTTGTCCTCTAGAGCCATATGTTCGAAGCACTGTGCGTCTGGCCGTCAAAGATTGTTGCATCAGAAATAAAAATAATAAATAAACACACATTATATCAATAGACAAAAATAGTATTGTTCCTAAGAAGTATACAGATAAAAATCGTGTCCCTAATTCGTGCTACGAAAATTGTTTTTTATGACGATGTGCAAACGAGTCAAATTTCCTGTGCGCAAAAATAAACTCGCGTAAAATAACAATAAACAGCGTAATAGAGAGATATGGCTAAACCGAATAGCCTGCATGGACGTTAATAAGGCCAGGTATTATTTCCTTTACGTGAGGTGGTATTAACTCTCTTCATTTATAGTTATCGGATCGGAAAGAATTCTGATCGCGTCGCGTCCGCTATTTAAACTTAACCTGACTTTGAATTTAAAACTTTGAAATTGTTTTGTTTACTAGGTATTTTAAAACTAAAAGGCTAAAGTGCTTATTTCCAGTGCTTTATTGTTCAACGTCTGCCAATGGGTTTAGGGCAACAAGCAACAAATTCTCTTAGAAGGGCTAAGTCGTCATCTGCTGTAAACCTAAGACTCTTTATAGTTCCTTTAGTATTGGAAGAGGTGGAATCCATATTTTGGGCCATATTTATTTAATTAAAACTAATCCCAGCTACTTAAATATCAAATTACCTAATAAAACTAAAGCAATAATTCAAAACAATTCAAACATAACCTAAAATAAAAGACCTCGCCGGCCGGCTCCGGTTGTCAAATACCCGCACATGCCCATTTAAGCAATTTTTAAACGCTATCAGAGGTTATTTAGAAAGAGCGCTTGGTGTAATTGATCCGCAAATTACGTCAGGCGGTAACGTTATTAGCGGGTGTTGCGTTAAAAATTGACTCGCGCATATCGTAACCATGATAAGGTACGCGTAAATACTGGATAACGCTATTCGGTTTTCCGATATCTCTCTAATAACTGTACCGGTCAGGCGCTGTGCACAATTTTAGAGGCCATAAATGGGCGTGCTATGTGCGCAAACTAGTAACCTAACTAGTGCCCGATTCCGAAAATTGAAACCACGAAAAACAATAAAGAAAAAACAAAGATTATAATCTGTATAATCTGTGACGTTAGTGTGCGCTATATCATTTGATTCAATGGTTTCAGAGGTAGCAGCGGCCTGGCCGGTGCGACCTGGCCGTCAGTGTGTTCGAGCTCTTAGCAAACAAGGAATGGTTCTCAAGAGTAAAACCGATAAAAAAATTCCAAATGAAAATAATATCAAATTATTAAGCCATGAGAAAGTAAACATGAAGACAAATAATGAATACAAGCGAAAAAAACACATAGGTAGCATAAAATCTCGAAACCAACTTAACTAAATTAGAAAAAAAACTTAACATTTTCAATTAAAATAACAACTCAAAATAAACTTAATTTTATTCGTTATTATCTAAAACTCACCTGTAAACTCTCCCCATACCCAGCGTACCGTAATTGTGGTTTACAGGATCCATATCGTGCACAGACCCCACCTGCCTATTTGGCGGCTGATCTATGACACTTCCCCCCACCTCGGAATTGTAAATCAACGTTTGCGAGTTCCGAGACGAGTACGGACTCTGGAACTGAGTCCCTGAAGGAGCTTGTGGGTCGTAATCAGCTATTTTTCCGATGTTGGGGTGCTGTACGGGCGCCTGGATGGTGGGTACTACGGCAGGTATCGTGTTGTTGGTGACTATGGTGGTCTTGGCCACGTTCCTCGCGACCGGTACCTCTTCGGAGTTGCCGTTCTCGTTCAACTGTCGCCTCTGTTCCATTTCCGCTTTGCGCTGGAGTTCACCGTGGTAGGCTACATTACTGAAAGGAAAAATAAAACCTTCTAGTCTAAGAGCTGGCAACGTTTTCGAGAAAGTATTGTAAGACGTCTGGCTCTTTGATATATCTTTTACTATGCTCTCTGGAACAGCATGCGGCCTGTCTGGCTGCCGATACCCGTTGCGTTCACTACTGCGCATCGGAAGAAGATCCTATATATTTTTTTTAATTTAGTCCTATAAATTCTAGTATTGAATATAAATCGAACATGTCTCCATAGCGCAGTGCGTAGAGTTTCCGACCACGAACCGATGAGTCAGAGTTCGAATCCGGGTCGGGGCAAAGACTTTTTTATTTTATTTTTGTTTATATTCTGATAGTAAAGTATTAAATAATTCTGGTGATTCAAAAAAAACAAATATTTATTATTAAATATTATATTTCTCCGAAACGAGGTATTTTAAGACAAATGTATACAAACTCTTTTACCTATTCTTATCGGTAGAATATGCTGCCAAAGTTCCTGTTCGATTTTCTGTTGGTAAAGTAATATTTGTAATAATAATAATAATAATGTCGCAGGACTCATTGGCAGGAAATAAAAATGCCATATTCAAAAACCCTTAAAAACGATTGAAGAAGAATCCAAATTTTATATATTTCCAAGTAAATATATCTTCAAATAAATGACGGAGCCGCTTTATTAATAAAGAACATAGAAAAATAAATTTATTTATGTTCATAATCAATAATAAAATATTTTTTTTAAGTAATTAGTTAAAATTGCTTTATTTACAGTTTGTTATTGTTTATTCATGATTCAAATCAAAATGTTTAATAAAAAATTTCATCTCATAATTTTCTAACACTATTGGATATTATCCCCTGGGGAGTTATATGTATAAATAAGTGTTATTTCATTGTAATTAAATACTAAATGCCTATTTTACATTATGTCACATATAAAAGCGAACTGCACGGTTCAAAGCAGACTTTTCACTCTCTGTACTTTGTCGAGAACGTTTGTAACAATAAAATCGTTTTTTTAAAAACAACTCTGTTAATTCAGTATTTCAATCTTTTTTGCAAAATAATAGCGCACAACCTAAAACTATTTTCATAGATATACAGGATGATTTAAAAATATCTTTATACTAAAGATACACTTTGTTAAACGGAATGAAATAAAATCTCCAGTCTAAAAAAAATTATGTCATGGAACATAACAATATTCATATGAAGTCAAAAATTCTGTATCATTGTAATTGAGGTGAAAATGATACTCTGAATAGAATGATATATCATATGTCAACTTTTGACATTTTCGCTTAAAGAAAAAAATCATATTTTAATTTTCAATCTAGAGTGGCATGGCTGTTTTAAAAACACTAATTTTTAACCAAGGAGCCTTGGAAAAATAGATTTCATCGTCTAATATTTTTCGAGTCTTATCCTGGCCAGTTAAAAGATACCCCAATTCGTATTTTTAATATCTCATTTTCAAATGAAACAAGGGTGGCTCTTTAGCATATTTCGAAAAAGAATTTTTTTACGAATAAGTTGGTATCACACATTTGGCATTTCAAGTCAAATTGTCGTTATGAACTGTATGTGACAATATCAAATAAACCATATGGAAAAATGTCAAAAGCTGACATATGATATGTCATTCTATTCGGAGTGTCATTTTCTATTGAATAAAGTAGAAATTTACCGAGGGTGTCATTTAAAAACCACAAGTTGTAGTCATTACCGGTGAAAAAGGAAGTGACTAAAAACAATTGAATACATCAATCAATCCTAATTTATGCCATATACTAACATACTAAATCTCCAAAGGATAGTTCGATTCCTATCTTCCTGCACTGTCAGTTTTTTTACGTTTTCTAGGGACCGAGTTGAAGTTCGCGCTAAAGATTTTAGACGGTGACAGTTATTTCTGCGTTTGACGGACGAGCGCACAGTGAGGCGGAAGATAAATCTAGCGGGACAAAACCGTTTGGTTAGAAATAAGCCAAAAAATGTGTACTGATAAGAATAAATAGTAGACATTCCAATTGATATAAAAATGCATGAATATTCTTTGTATTTCAATACATTTTTATCAATCAAATTTGGTCGTTTTCTGCTCAGCAAGGCAGAGATCATACGAAAACAAAATATTTACAAGTGCTTATACATTTTATTCCAAAGCCAAATTATGTTGAAGATTGCCAAAGGTATGTACTTTTCTACTGTACATATATTATTTGTTAAAATCCTTCGTACCTTTGTTCTGCAGATATCAAACTTTCACTTTTTTCAAATATCGATATATATTGAATGATGTAGATCTTTTGAATTACCAAAATAGTTACCAACACAGGTAGTCACAGTCACAGGAAGTTCAAGCTTACCAGGTGAATACCCAAAAGTTTAATTTCAATAGGATAGTATAAAAACAAAACAAAGACTCGTTAAAGGGTTAATTGCGAAGAGCATTCAAAAGAAAAATTGGGTTTTGCAAGTACTATGAGCTTTAGGGCTAGTGGGAGTAAGGATGCTGCTGTAATTGTTGAAACCTTAACTCCATGAAAAGGCACTAAGTTTAAAAAATTAATAGCTGCCCATACACGGAAAGGCTCGGCTATCGGACTTGGTATTGAGGCCGGGCTTTCACCCAAATTACTATAGTGGAAATATATTCGCGGACTTTGCCTTTCACGCAAACCTATGGTATTTTAGGTTAAAGGCCCGGATCCAAGGCCAAGGCTGAAGGCAGTAGGCCAGTTAATCTGGAGGTTGAGGTGGAAAAAATAATTAGTAACCAACCGATCTCAACGGGAATGTGTAGATAATGATGTCCTATTTAACCCCTCAAAAGTCCCATTCAGTCCCAGTGGGGGAAGTTAGAAAAAAACCGCCGTCATCTTGGATTTTTTCGTTTTTTTTTTCAAATATCTCCGTTTGCATAACTTTTTTCGAAAAATCTAAAGATCTGTTTTTTGTAGAGAATTAAATTTAGAATATTTTACTTTCAATCATTTTTTTCCTAAAATAAATAGTAACAGAGATAGAGTAATTTTTTACTATACGTTTCATAAATTTTCCAGTTTTTTAAACCAATCAACTATAAATTTTGCATTAAATATAATTTCGCATTAATATAGATAAAACAAGTATAAATTTATGCATTAAAACAATTAAAAATAACGTTTAAATATTATTTATTAAATAAAATTATTGTTAAAAAAAATATTATTAAAGTTTTAAATAAAATCTGCAATGACGTCATCCTGAGCGTCATTTTCCTTCTCAACTAAAATACAAAAGTTTGTGCAACTGATTCTCGTAGCACTGACCACACTTTGAAAAACATTTAAGACCCAGTTGTCTACAAGAGCAATTTTTAGAGCACTGACTCTCTTTGCAATTACAAAAAAATTAATTTTAGTAGGTTAGGAAGCGCCACATCTTCTGTTGATTGATTAGGTGTCAGATTGCCTTTTCGATCTTTCTTCCATCCATATTGTAAAGGATTTAGATTGGTAACAAGTTAGCTTGTTACCAATCTATTCTTGAATCTAAAAAATACAACTTATAACTTTTCCTATAATAGATATATCTTTACAGTTGCCTGAAAGTATGTCCTGAGTCAGGACATACTTTCAGGTAACTGTCGTGAGTAAATGTAGTTTAGCAATGTTCTCAGTTGGAGACAAATTAGCTAAATTAAAGATAGTTTTAAGGGCTTGTCTTGATGTAATCCTATTGTAGAGTGTATCTCAGATGGTTAATATGTTTAATATAGCTTGGGCAGTTTGTTTAGCTTTAAAAGATAATTTAATCTTGACTAATTAAAATATCTTTTAAAGCTATATCACTGCCCAAGCTATATTAAACATATTATCCATCTGAGATACACTCTATAGGTACCGGTCGGTGGTGTAGAGGGACAGCTCCCGTCTATCAATCTAAAGCTTGTGGATTCGAATCCTACAGCCGGTAGTTCATCAGTCGACTATTTTTAATAACATAAAAATAGTTTGGGTACCTAGGTCGACTCAACCTTAAATGAGTACTTGGGATTCACAATCCTGAGGTAATAATAGGCGGTTACAACGTAGTGCTAGCCACATTACCTTCCTTGTATACCGAACGGCTCTAGCATGGCAAGCTGTACCTTGCTACTCCCAAGGCGTTAAACGGTATATACGGGATCTATTATTATATTATTACTATTATTAGATACACTCTATACAATAGGATTACATCAAGGCAAGCCCTTAAGACTGCCTTTAATTTAGCTAATTTGCCTCCAACTAAGAACTCTGCAAAACTCCATTTACTCAGGACATACTTTCAGGTAACTAATAATATCTATGAAATATTATAAGTTGTATTTTTTAGATTTAAGAATGGGATTTGTAATAAGTTAGATCCTTTACAATATGGATGGAAGAAAGATCAAAAAGGCAATCTAACACCTATTCAATCAACAGAAGATGTGGCGCCTCCTGACCTAACTAAAATATTTTTTTTGCAATTGCAAAGAGTGTCAGTGCTCTAAAAATTCTTCTAGAAAACTGGGTCTTAAATGTTCTTCAAAGTGTGGTCAGTGCTACGGAATCAGTTGCACAAACTTTTGTATTTTAGTTGAGGACGAAAATGACGCTCAGGATGACGCCACAGCAGGTTTTATTTAACAACTTTAATTTAATAATAATTTTTTTAACGATAATTTTACTTAATAAGTAATATTTAAACGTTATTTTTAATTGTTTTAATGCTTAAATTTATACTTGGTTTATCTATATTAACACTATACTGTTAACGCAAAAATAATAGCTGATTGGTTTAAAAAAACTGGAAAATTGATAAAACGTATAGTAAAAAATTGCTCTATCTCAATTACTATTTATTTTAGAAAGAAAATGATTGAAGGTAAAATATTGTAAATTTAATTCTCTACATATCTTTAGTTTTTTCCAAAAAAGTTATGCAAACGGAGATATTTGAAAAAAACGAAAAAATCCAAGATGGCGGCTGTTTTTTCAAACTTCCCCCAATGGGACCGAATGGGACTTTTGAGGGGTTAAATAGGAGATCATTATCTACACAATCCCGTTGAGATCGGTTGGTTACTAATTTTTTCCACCTTTATATAAATACTCAGCTATGTTTACTGGCCTACAGGGTCTTACCGTGTATGGGCAGCTAATGAATGACACCAATAGTCAGTTTGGCAATTTTCCTCAAGACAAAAACATCCAAATGATATTCTAGTTAAATAAAGCATGACGATATGCAAAAGTTTTTTTTTACTTTCTGATAATTTATAATAAAACTAAATGATTATTACTAGTTTTAATAAAAGTTTAAAAAATTGTCTTAGATACTGACTATATATGAATTTACAATTACCGAGTGTTAAAATTAAAATATCTACCTTATTTATTATTTTCAAAACAAAATATACAGGGTGTCACAAGATTACAAAGTAATTAAAAAATAACTGCTAAAGAGTTTTTTGTAAGTATTTTACCTGATATCATAATTTTATGTATTTGGCAATAGTTTACAGTACGGTTTTTGTGTGTCATGTATGAATAATATCATAGTTTTATTATCTTGTATTTATTTATTTATTAATAAATAAATAAATTTACCACATGTTTGGTATATATTACACCATTTGCTACTTTCTTAGATTTTAAGTCCCAAACATCGCTCCTAAGATTTTTTCCCGCTAGAATAACCATCCGCCGCACTGTGGAGCGCTGGTACCTGCGTGACGTAAGCATCCACGGCCACTACGACAGCGACGATTTGACGCGATCGAACAGTCCTTTAGAATATATACAGTCCTTGCTAAATCTCGTTCTAATAAAAAAAGTTATAGAGGTGAGCCACTTTTGAGATGCACCCAGTATTGCAAGAAATACGATTTTTTTTTTAATTTTTAACACCCTGTAGATCAGAAAGGAAGTACTTCAAACCCCATGCTCATATAAACTTGTTTTCTTAAAAAAAACAAGGAAACACACTAATTTTTTTTATTTTTATTTAAACTCCTCATGAAACTTATATCATTTTTGGAACAATAGGTCACCCTGTATAGTAATAAAAATAAATAATATAAAAAAACAATACATAACAATTCAATAGCCAAATAATGTTTAAATAGTATTTTTTTATCTTGGTATGACAAAAATTCAAGAAAAAAATCATTTTTGAAGCTGTCTTTTATGAAAATCTTTTAGTAAAATATGAACAAGCTTTTTTAAATCACTAGGTACTTCTAGTAACTGAAACATCACATAGAATTTTGTTTAAATGTTAGAAACTAAATACTTCTTTGTGTAAAATGAAAGCATAAAATCAAACAAGGCCTATATTATATTAAAACTAATAATCTTCTAATGTTTAGCAAATACTGGAACAACACTTACCTTATAATTTTTGTGTTTTGTCTGATTCTCAAGATTTCAGGATCGTCGGCCACCTGAGTGAACTTTCCTTTAGCTTTCTCAAAGTCTGCATGATACTTAACATTAGATTGTAATTTAGTATTTTCTGCTATTCTTCTCAATTCGGGAGTTTCGGCCATTGTAGTAGCCTTCGCTTTAGGTACATGCCTACAAGAATATTTGGTGTAAAGAAAAAATATTATAAATTACAAATAAAGTAACTTACGCTTCACAATAAGGTTCTTTATTAAAACCTTTATAGTTACGCATGTTAAGTGCCATTCCACAGTCCTTGCATTTGAAGCACAGCTTGTGCCATACCTAGTTTTAAAGAATTTTATTTAAATAACAATTTTATACAGTTGACACTGTATTTATTTGTTTCTATTTGTGCCAGTCTTAAAATTAATTTGTTTAAATCCTTACTAATCCCCAATATGTTTGTAATTTAGAGTTTATGTCATAGGTAAAGAATTTAAGTAAACTATATATGCATGAACCTCTTAAATTAGTTAACAAGCCATTTCCAAAAATAACTAAACTAAAACACAAAAACCACAAATTAAGTTTGATACATATGAGTCATATAGTGGTAGCCTTACTCTAAATATTTAGCCTTGATTAATTTAACGTGAACTCACATATATGAGGGTAGAAGGAAAGTAATTAAAGACACAGCAGGAGAATGATATTCTATACGGTTATAATAAAAATAATGAACTAATAAATTTTATTAAATCGACGACTTAAAGTGTAGAAAAAATAAAAAGCTACCTTGTCCAAACATTTCTGTTCCTCCGTGGGGTACACTGTCTTTTCACACCGAGCGCAACGTTTATTCATTTCGTAGAAAGTTTGCTACACTTTAAATTTATAAAATATGTATTTTATACACTAAATATAAATGATTTTTTTTCTAGAATTAAATGAAACACGAACAGCCCAACCCGCTTGCCACTTTTTTGTCGTATGAACAAGTGTCAATATTAACTGTCACCTGTCACAACTGTCATTTAATAAAGAAGAGCGGATCATATAAAAGTTTTGGCCAAATGTCATGATGTCAAATGGCCAGTATTATATGGTATCATTACTAATTACTATACACAATATGATCATTATAAAGACAAACGTGGGTTACTAAAATAATTCAAAGCAGTGTTGTCGCAGTGGTACATTTGTACCAAATTTGATACTTTCAATTCTATTTGGTACAGTGGTACTACATTTTCAAATCCAGGATGATTCGGTACAATAATTATTTCCCACGCGCACCGAAAATGAAAAGATATTTAATAATTATCGTCGTTGATATAGCATTAAACACGCTTACCGATACCATTCGGAGACAATCCGCATTAATTAACGACGTATTATAAACGTTGTAATGTCTATAGGGTTGCCTATATTAAATAACCCGAAGAAAAAACTTAAAATTTGCTGTTTCTAACATGCTTCTATACTTGCGTTTCTTTTTAATAAAATTTAAGTTTTCCAAGTATCGTGTGTAGTATTAGAATTACTTACATTTCTTCAACCTATACATACTTATAATTGGGTTTTCTGAATATCTATTTCATGTTTTTCGTCTCGATATGTGTCGTTCTCCAGGAAGTTTTTTTATGTAGAAATTTATGAAGAAATTCACAACGACCAAACCGGTTAAAGTCATTTGCAGATGTATTTTGTTGTGCTTTAAAAAATTGTACCAAAGTGGTACATTTTTAGTTTATAATGTGGTACGCGCTAAAAGTTGGGTGCGGCAACCCTGATTCAAAGATCTGTTAAAGATTAAAAAAGGACAACATTTTAGATCTAGCAGCCTAAATCTATTTAAATACACATATATTATCTTCACCTTCTCAATTACAAGAAACTAATTATATTTTGTTTCTTTTTATTCTTATCTGATCTATTTTACAGGAGCATTCTTTAATGTTTTCGATACAAAGGATCCTTTCCCAATTATAGTTAGAGGAGTATTCTTGTAGCACGCTTCCAAATTATTGTTAGTGTGCAAATCTACAGCAACTGTCTCAAAGATTTTCTTTTTTGGGTTCATTATTGAATCAGGCTGCCTTGTATAACCTTCACAATGGACTATATCTCCTAAAATATATTGTTACATTAAATATAAAAAGCACTAAACTATAGCGAACCTGGTTGAGCATTTTGGGGTGGTATAAGCACTTCTACACCTTGCTCATTGCTAGCACACATTACCATAGCTTCAGAAGTAATTCCGCGCATCTATTAAATCATACTAATTAGTAAAATTTTAGTTAACATTGGTGAATATAAAATTCTTACTTTGACAGGTTTTAAATTACACAATAACAAAACAATTCGATTTTGTAATTCATCCATGGGCACATGTTTTACTAATCCCGAACAAACTGTACGTGGTTTTTCTTCACCGCAGTTAATTTTTAAAACATACAAAGAATCAGCATCAGGATGTCTCTGAACGTCTTCCACTTTGCCAATCCTTAAATCGAGACGTCCTATATCTACAGGCAGCTCTTTTTGAGCCTCTCTTTGAGGTTTAGATTCTTTAACCTTTTTATCTTTTTTAGTTTTTACTTCCGACTTTAATTCTTCTTGAGATTGAACAGGGTCTGTTTCTTGTGTTCTTACAGCAGATACTTTCTGTTGGCCAGCAACAGGTATGGGTATCTGTTTAATTCCATTTTGGATCTCGAGTTGTATAAGTTTCTTTTTGGCTTCTTCAACTGCAGCTGTCAATTTGGCATTCTCCTCTCGCAGCTGCCGAGCTAATATATTATTATACTCCTTACTAATTATATTTAACTAGAAATAAACAAGTTAAAATAGCCTATCTAATATTATAATGGAATCACATTACTTCAGTTTTAAGAGAGTCTATTGTATCTTTTGCAACTTGGGCATTTTCTTTAATGCGTTCTATTGATGATTTTTCTGGCATCCTGTTCAGTATACGTTTACTATTCCTAAAAATATTCAAAAATTTCTTCAATGTAAAAGAAAAATGTGTCATTTTTACTCACTTGAACAGGTATTTGTGAGGTTAACAATAAATTCTTCTTACTTTTTAAGGGGTAGCTAAATGTCCTTTTTCAGCCATAGAAGAATAACTAGTATGCTGTGCTTAATGTTGTGAAGTTATATGCGATTTAGTCATATATAAATGTCATAGACTTTTGACAGTAAATTTTTTTTTAGGGTGACGCGCAGAGCTGCTCTTAAATTGATCAGTTATTTTTAGTTTGTCCTTATTCAATTTATCTTTTCGGAAAGAGAAAACACAATACGGGGGTCAGTTCGTCAGTTCACCCAGTTCTTTTTATTGTTGATAAAACATAATTGTTCTGTATATTGCTTTTCCTTTACACGTGATTTTTGAACACAAATTTGTCGTACCGCGATATTGTTTATGAAAATAAATTGTTCGCTGTCACATATATTTGCAAAATTCCAATAACAATAGAAGTGCATTGAACGGTTTAATACATCGGCAAACAACTAAACTCCCTCCATTTCACTAAATATGAGTGACGACGATCGAGACGTAGATGTTGAAAGTGATGTAAGTACTTTGCGAAAGTGATGCGTTAATTTACTAATTTCTACTATTTGTTTAAGGATGGAGAAGACTCAGATAACAAATTACCAAGCTCAAGACAGTCATCAGGAAGCCAGTACTATTCACAAGTAGATTTGCTTTGTTTATACTTGAATATTTTTGTGTTTAATGACTTCATTATAGGCCGAGAAGAGGGCACATCACAATGCTTTAGAGCGCAAGCGAAGAGACCACATTAAAGATAGTTTTAGTTCGTTAAGGGACTCTGTGCCAGCTTTGAACGGTGAAAAAGTACAGGAAAGAATTTATTGATACCTGATCGTGAACATTTAAGTATTTTTTGTATTTTAGGCTAGCAGAGCTCAAATCCTCAAGAAAGCCGCCGAGTACATTATGTTTATGAGGAAAAAGAACCAGTCCCATCAGCAGGATATCGAGGATCTGAAAAGACAAAATAGTCTGTTAGAAGCACAAAGTAATAACAATACTTGAGCTAGCTAAATTGATATATAAAGGTTTACCAATATCATTTCTATAGAGATTTTTTACTTGATGCTTGCAAATAAGAAACCTAACATAGTATTTTCAGATCACTTGGCCATCCTGTATATATCTAATAATTATTTACTGCTCATTTCAAATATTGTCTTTTTTGTAGTTCGGACATTGGAGAAGGCAAAATCCACTGGAATTTTTGACAGTGACCTTGTCATGAAAGACGCGTTGTATAATGACTCCGAGTCGGATAGTTCTGATGTGGAAGTACAGCAAAAACGGCCGAAGAAGTTGAAATCCTTCCATTAAATGAATTAATTAAGTGTTTATGGAGCTGTTCTACAAATAACATTAAAATATTTTCAGTTGAATTTCAGAAATATATTCAGATAAAGAATGGTTAATAGGCAGATTAGTGTCTATAGAGCTGTAAAATATATTTTTTTTAAATATGATTTGACAAACTTCCGTGAGATATATATGCAGCATGTATTGTAAATATTTTTAATTTTGTTATTAAGCCTCTCAACATTTTATTTTCCGTTTTGTTAGGTAAACTTATGTTTTAAGTTAAATTCCCCCAAGGAAGGCTTAAATATAGTCTTTATATAATTTTTACCTATTAGGTTTTAGAGCTTAATATAGTTATCTTTTTTAATAAATACATGTTTAAAAATATTTTTTGTTTTTTTTGTATTAAGCCTTTAATTGTATACAGAGGAGCTTTGTGATTTTAAAAAACTTCATATCAGATATTCTATGAGATTTTACTCTCATATTTTCGGGAAAATACCTTCATAGATATATATGGCGATTGAAATGATTTTTACAATGAATATCTGGTCTTACTGAATGGGATTTAAATTATAAACATTTTTAGTTAAATTTTTTACATTTAAAGGTCTCAATTAAACGTGCTAAAATACGACGTTAATTTCCTTGGTATATACAGGGCCAGTCAAAACTTGATGTCGTTTTTCTCCACTACTAGCCCAGTAAGTTTTTGTACTTTTAATTTTTGTAAATAAAACACATCATTTGTCTTTTTTTAGCCTGTATATACCATGTAATATAACTAGTTCTGAAATCAACAGTCAATTCAGTCTCAAAATTGTCATATTTCAAAAACATAGTATTTTTGGAAAGGAAATTATAAAAATAGTATTAACAAAAAATGTCTTAAATACAATTGAGATTCAAGTGTGTAATTAAAAAGATAAAGGTATTTTCCAACTAAATGAAAAGCAAAAACTCCGCTTGCTTTATTTTTAGAATTATAATGAATATAGTTACCTCAAATGTTAATCCAATGGTTATTTTGTATAAAAGTGTCCTACTTACAAATATTAACAAACAAGAACTTAAAATTTTCAACTTTTTCATTAACCAACTCAGTATTGTTCACATATTCTACTACAAAAAAAAGAATATCAAATAAAAAACCTGATATGGAACTTTTTTAAAACACTGAATCACCTTGTATAAGCAAAACTTACAACTGTACGATATATAAAATACTGTTATTAAAATTAACAAAACAGTAAATAAACCTTAAAACAGATTTAACATATAAAATACTTAAAAAAATTTCTGTGCAGAAATTTTAAACATATTTCAGTTCAATCTTGGTTTCTTTTCTGGCGGTGGTTTTACTTTAGCTTCTTGTTTAACCTCCACTTTCTCTTTATTCTCCTGTACCCCATTTTCTGCTTCTGTCTTTACCGGAGCAGGATTTGTAGGTTTCACTTGAGAAGGAATAGCAGGCAAGGGAAACTTCTTAATCAGTTCACCCAGCAACATATCAACCCTTTGCCTTTGAAAAAGTGAGCTGGATTCCTCTTTAGGTTTTTCTTTCTCTACAGTCTTAATTTTTTCTGCTCCTTTTTGAGATTTGAAGTCCCAATAATACCCTTTGCTTGGATGATAACGTGAAAAATTAAAAGCTTCCTCGAAAGATGACTGAATATGATACACTGCTGAAAGCAGTCTTGAATTAAGAACACTAGCAAGATCTGGGGCTTGATATACAATTCCTGCGATTATATAATATTCTGCGAGAGGGGTTACTTGTTGTGGGCTATGCCTATGCTGTTTCCTTATAACATACAAAATCGGTTCTTGGACATGTAACAAAGCATACTCTAAGCCGCTCATATTTCTAAAATAAAGAAATATTTAAGCAAATAACGTATAGATTTATTCCATACTTACAGTAACTGATCAGGATTAAGCCTTTGCATTTTGACAATTTCATTATTGCAAGTTCTATCGAAGAAAGGATTGGAAGCTTGTGAGAAATATTCCATTACATTCGTGGTATTCAGAATTGGAATCCATGTAGAATCATGCCATGATAAACCTAAAGTATTATCAGCTACTCCACTTGGAGCAGTAATGCCTAGCCTGTTCATCTCTTTTGCTTACCAATATTATTAAGCTGATTAAAATACTGTAATTTAATGTATTATTAATCTACTTTTTTATATTTAATCAATAAATATTGTCTTGAAATTATCAAATCTATTGTTATTTTAAATATTTTAGGAGTACAAAGTACAAAATTTGAAAATTTTTGAGATTTGGTTGTGAATTTTGGTGATAACCTAACTCTTTTCTTTTTTTTTCCTTCTGTTTAACGGCCTTTAGCTGCCTGGACTATACGGCCCGAACCTAACTCTTTTCTTTTCTTTAGATTTTCTTCTTTCTTGATTGGTTTTACGGCCTAAGCTTCCAAGACCATACGGCCAATTTTCTTTCGACTCTATGGCCACTTGTTATTAAGCATGTTGCTACAGAATCATATATATATAATTCTGTCATATATAAATTTTTAATTTAAAAACGGAAATGAAATTTAAACTAGCCAGTTGTAGCCTGTGGTTGTAGCGGTTGTAGCCAATAAAATGTTAATTTCAAATTTGTAACTTACAAACTTTACATTCAAAAGTTAAAAGTATCATGAGTAGTCACAATATTCTCTATGCAATATTCTATAATATTATCAAATTCATTAGACAGGCATGTAATTTTACAGTATATTTTCATACTTTTTATGGCAGGGATCATGTTACATTTACAGGTATTTTTCAAGACTATTTTCGTCAACATTTATGTGTGCTAAACCCAAGTGCTAAACCATGATTAGACATTAAAATTAAAGGGGCAATATTAGACAAGGGGGCAATGCTGTAAAATGGATTTTTCAGTTGTACTTTTACACAGAAATCCGCAATATCTTCAGAAGTGCTGTGACTTGATAAATAGTGAATGGAAACGCAGTGATACGGCCAGATTTAGAAGTTTAGAATCCTCTTGCGATCAATTACCAACGTCTCTGATACTTTTAAGAGGAAACAAAGTACTGGGCCATGTTAAACTCTCAGTTATACCAAGTATACCAAATAGTTGTTTTATTGAATCTGTAGTTATTGCCCATAATGAAAGAGGGAAAGGTCTAGGAACACTTTTAATGCAAAAAGCTGAGGACTATTGCCGCACTGTTTTGCATTTGGATGTAGTTTATTTATCAACTAAAGGACAGGAAGAATTTTATAGAAAATTAGGCTATATAGAATGTATGCCAATATCAATTTATGGTAGCTTTACACCAACAGTTCAAAATAGTTTTAAGAATAATATAAATGTAGAAAGAATTAGTACGAATGATATCAAAAATATCCCTGCTCCACCACCAATGCCAGTGAAGAACAATATTATTTCAACTACAAAAACATTTATGAAGAAAGATTTAACTAATTGCTAACATACAGATACAGAAAGTAAATATTTTGTATGAAATATATTTAATTCTTTAAAAGAATACAATAAAGTTTGAAAAGTAATATAAATTTTGTTTTGATTCTTACTATACATAATTTAAATTAACATTTACACTGATACAATTCCACACACATGACAGTAATGTTCTGGTTGTTCTAAGGAATCAACTAAAAATCGGCCAAGGTCATATTTAGACACCGCTCTACCTTGATACTGATCATGTCCCACTTTGTATGAAGATTCAGGTGAACCTATACAAATCAGTTTGGATAATTGTAATAAAGAAATAGAAGCAATCGAATTATACTAATATATTACCTGCAATGTGTGGAGGAAATACTGCAATATACTTCAGATTTGACTCTTTTAAAGCTTCGTACATTCTGCGATGATCTTCAGTAAGATCTCTAAAAATTTGAGGTGTTTTATCACCGGAATACTCTGGGAACAAAAATGCTGATAGACAGACTGATATAATTTCAACATTTGTCTCTTGCATAGCTTTTAAAATGTTTTTTAAGCTATTACTCAAGTCGGTGGTAGGTTGAAGGTTTGTTCCAGTCCCCAAAGTGCACACTACTGCTTTGATATCTTTTACAGCCTTCAAAACATCGTCATAATTTAGTGTATTGCCTTGGAACACCTCTACTTGTTGTCGTATATGATCAGGGAGCCTTGTGGGGTCTCTCACTAGTACTCTAACCTGAATTCCTATTAAAATAAAGCCCTTTATATTTTACTTCTTTAAACTGTATTATAAATGCGCTTACCTTTTTTAAGCGCTGACTCCACCACACATAAACCAGTCATGCCGGTAGAACCAAAAACAACAATTTTATCCATTTTTAACTGTGGAACAGGAAAAACAACCCAAAGAATAAGAGCTTGGTCACGGTAATGGTAAAAGGTAAAGGTAATAAATTAAAAGGTTTGTAAATTAATCAAATTATACAGCATATTATTCAAGTTTGAATTCGTATTCGTATCATAATTTTTATTTAATTAACCTGAATTAGATTTGGACAGTTATCGTTGGTTTCATTTCTTTCTAATATTAAATATTAAAAAAAGATAACTACTAGAAAGGCAGGGCTTTCTATAACATATTGTTTAGACGATCAAAAGTTGTTGATTTAATAATAAAATTGATTATAATAGGATACCAATTATTGAAATAAATGATTTTAAATTTGAGGATTAATGTTAGTTAGTCTTTATAAAATTGAATACAAATGATTTAAATTTTAATTTTTTTTAAACATTTTATTTTAAACTCCTATAGTGGCGACATCTTATAAAGAGGGGTAAAGACTAATACATTTTCAAATATGAAATCGATAATAAATTTTAGTTAATCTCGCGTTAATCTTGTTTGAATTTGAATTTAAAAATTGGCGGGGAAAGGGCCTAAAGCCCGTAACCATGACAGTCGCAGGGCAGGATATTATTCAAATGTTTTCGGTGACATATTTCAAAATATTCGACATCGTCTAACTTATTTTTAAAAATCACGGCCGGCCGTCGGAAAATGAGCTACACTGTCGTGATCCTGATGCACAAAATCGTCGACGACCGGATCGTATCTACGGTCAGAGACGAAAAAAACTCTAGACTCGCCCTGGATATGGTGATGCGAACGTACCTCAACCCCGACAGAATTAGACTGAATATATCGAATTATAGTGAGGAGAAGGTAAGTTTAAATATCGACGATCACTTGCATATCCAGGATTCATTGGTGATAGAGGCGCTCAATGAGAACGAGATGATAATGTACGAGCGAATGAATTTGAATTTTCCTACGTTGACCAAGTGCCAGAATTGCGAAACGAATTTTCCGACGAAATATCAGTATCAGCGGCATCAGTGCGATTTTGACGTCAACAAGGTGGTTTTCAAAACCTGCCCTGACGATGAAATTGCAGAAAATATAACAGAAAATAAGAAAAAAACAGAGTGCGAAATATGCGGCAAGTTTTTCGCGAGCAAAATTAACCTGGAAAAACACCAAGAGACCCATTCCGCTCACGATAATATCTGCGAGTTTTGTGCGAAGCGGTTTGTCAGCGAAAACCGGCTGAGAATTCATAAGGAAAATCATTGCAAGAAGGCGGGTGACGTTGCCAAGTTTTATCGCAGCGATGTTACAGTGTGGAAGTGTAGAAAATGCCACGAAGTGTTTTCTTCCGCTGAAATTGCGGTGCATCACGTAGAAATTTGTCAGGAATCTGGAGATAATAACGAAAACAAGGAAAACTTTATCGAGAAAATTTCTACCGAGATTCTGCTGCAGTGCGAGTTCTGTAACAGAACTTATTCTGATAAAAATCTGTTATTGATGCACCAAAGAAAGCACACTACCGCAAAAAACTACGAATGCGTTAACTGTTTGAGGACTTTTGACTCTTTTTGTACGGCTTCGTCTCACTGGCTGAAAAAATGCACGGAATTTTCAAATTTATTTTACTTACCTCGATTGTCTTACTGCGAGTACTGTGATCGCACGTTCAAGTCTCACGATATCCTCTACAATCACAAAACAAAGAAGAAGCACTATACCCCGAAACTACATTCGCGTGCGGATGGCCCGCAAAAGCTTGACGAAGATGGAGAAGTAAAACCGTTGATTGAGAATAAGGATATTGTGAACAAACTTATAGAGGATGTGCTAAAAACTCTAGAGGTACCTGTGAATGACTTGGATGATGGAGGTGAGGTCCAAATGCAAGAGATCAAGGTGAAAATTGAACCCGGAGTGGAAGATCTTTCAAGGTGAGTTTAGAATCATTTTAGAATGTCGTTTCATTGCGTAAACATAGCGTTCTGCAACAGTGCGCCGCGCTGGCGCGGCGCCGGGCCTCTGTGGTCTGTGGGTCCTATAAAAAAGAACTTAGGAATTTTGTTTAAGTGCATACAAAGAATATTTTAATACCCTATTCAAAAATTATAATATTCTTTGGTGCATACCTAAATTATGTGCTAGGGCCTAGGAAAATATTTTAACTTCTACGGGGTTGCTTAAAAAAGTGAGTGGATCGGGATTTTTTTAAACGGAACACCTTGTATACTGTTGCATTTTTGCGCCCTTTCTGATCATAAGATATATTTAAATATGTCTTGATAGTTTCAGAGATATTAATAAATAAGTAAAAAAAATTACAAACACAACAAAAAATGTCCTGAAATCAAAGTTATATTAGTTATTTCCTTTAGATGGTTCTTCCTCGCAATCTTAAATCATGCAGGGTGTTCAAAATCCTACGCCAAACCACCGCCAAACTTTCTAAAATATAAAATAATTTTTTTTCTTTTTTTTTAATGGAACACCCTGTATATTATTTTTTTAGTAGATGGATAATTAAAAAATGACCATTTTTTATATTTAAAGTATTTTAAAATTTTTAATGGTTTTGCAGATCTACGTAGTATTATTTCATATGGCTCTTTCACCGGTAAAATACCATAGAAAAATCATTGTGGGTGACTGATTTAAATTTACTGTGGAAAATGCCATATGAAATATAAAGCCGTTAGTATCTGCAAAACCGTTAAAAATTTTGAAATACTCTAAATACAAAAAATGTTCAATTTTTAATTCATCTATTAAAAAATAATATACACCATATGCCCCATTAAAAATAACAAAGAAAATTTATTTTATATTTTAGAAAGTTTGGCGTAGAATTTTGAACACCCTGTATGACTTAAAATTACAATATTTATAGCAAAGTAAGTATAGACCATCTAAAGTAAATACCTAATTTAGTTTTGATTTCAGAACAGTTTTTGTATTTAAAAAAATAAGAAAGGCTGAAAAATATATATTTTTTATTTATTTATTAATATCTCTGAAACTATCTATGAAAATATATTTACTCATATCTTAGGTTTATATAAAGTGTATCTTAGGTTTATATAAAAGAAAATCATCCCAATCCACTCACATTTTTTTGGGTCACACTATAAATTACATGTTGTATCGTACAGTTCTAGGTTGGAGCAGGAAATTATAGAAGAACAGATAAAACCACCTAAAAAACGTAAATTACAATCACGTAATTCTTCTACTAAGCCCAAAAAGCACGCTTCAGCCACCGATGAAGGTTTCAAGTACCAATGCGAGCGGTGCATCAAGGTTTTCAGTTCTGTAAACGCTTTGGAAAATCACAGAAATAATGAACACGCCGCATCGTTTTGCTGTGAAGAATGTAACCAGGTGATAAACAATCCGGAGTTTAACCATAGTTTTTTTATTACAAATAATTAATCTTCATACACAATCTATTAATTACCTTACAATCTTTATGACACCCGTATTGTGTTACTTTACTTCAATTTCATCCCATTTTTTTAAAAGAATTAATCAATATTAACAATTTCAAATTTACACTTTTGCAATCTCTGACGTCACCTATCAAAAGTGTCACGGTTTGCCACCAGAGATAAAAACCATTTTTCTAAATGTTTTTTAAAGTACTTAGATATAAAATTAATTGTAAAATAAAACTTAAGGAACTTACGTTAAAATGATATTCACAGCAAAATATCGTACTTTTGCTGACATATTGTTGTCTTGCCGCTTCAAACCAGGGGTGCAACTTTGTTCATGTTTCAAAGCGATAGCAAAGTAATTTGTAGCTTGTGGCACTATGTTCAGTAGCAACATCGATTCGTAGCGATATTCTGATTTCCCGCTTTGTGGCGAGGCGACAGTCTAGACCGTGTCGCACACGTGTGCAAGAGTGTGATAGTGATACCATATTTCGCAGCATTTAAGCGACAAAAGTTTTGCAATGAACATAGTATGGATCTGGGGTGCGACTTTGTTCAAGTTAGCAACCGATCGTTTAGAAGCGATGTCGAAACCAGATCGATACTATGTTCATTGCAAAACTAGTGACGCTCAAATGCTGCGAAATATGGTATCACTATCATACTCTTGCACACGTGTCTAGACTGTCGCCTCGCCACAAAGCGAGAAATCAGAATATCGCTACAAATCGATGTTGCTACTGAACATAGTGCCACAAGCTACAAATTACTTTGCTATCGCTTTGAAACATGAACAAAGTTGCACCCCTGGTTTCGACATCGCTTCTAAACGATCGGTTGCTAACTTGAACAAAGTTGCACCCCAGGCTCTTCGACGGCTCTCATACAAAGGAACAGTTATATAAAAAGTTTTTCTGGAGAGCCTTCAAAGTTATTTAGACAGTCCTTCACAAAACAAACTTTAACACCCTTTATTACAAAAATAATAAAGATGGTACAATAAAACAAAATTGAAAACTCAAAGTATTTAACGCCAAACGCAAAATCCGCAAAATACAAATCTAACCTCGAACCCTCGAACGCCTCGAACATCCGAACAACTTTGGTAGTGTTTAGTGTTTCGATAAAAATGGCAGTAACCTGTTAATTATAAAAATTTAAGTTTTAATTTCTAGTAGTAAAACATATAAAAGTAAATTTAGTATTGGGGTAATAAAAAATAATCCCACATAAAAACGTATTTTTTAACGATTTTAATAAAAATAGAAAAATCTAACGTGATTTTAAGATATATGGAGTAAATACGGTAGCAGAGAACTAGACACGCCATAATATTATTTTTCAGAGGCTCGCGCCCTCTTTTGGTAGGCTGTTTCCCTGCATCCTGCATACATGATCAGCCCATCTTAAAGGTGCGTCTAGACTTGAGCATTTTAGCCTGAACGAACAATGAACCGAAATGTAATGAACCGAACGCACAGAGCAGAATTCGTTAAGTCTGGACGCACCTTTAAGGTGAATTCTCACTATACCTTCCGTTTCCATTCCATATCCGTTCCGTATTTTTGATTGTATTCACGCTATATGTAATGCTTCTGTTCTGTATCAGTTCCATACTTTTTATTGCACAATTTATATTATTACGAAAGTTTTATTTTAAAAAATTGTATCTTTTGAAAAAGGTAATAGATTTAATTAAGAGGTGAAAGAATAGATACATATCAGATATACTGAGATCATCAGAGATACTTTCAAATTTCAAACAAGTGAGTGTCCTGCTTTTTGAGGACTAAAATCTGGCAACCCTATAACTTCACATGCTAGTTATTTAAAGGAAAATATTTTTATTTGTTTCAGACTTTGCCTTCGGCCAAAGCGTTGCTGATCCATTGCAGGGCTCACAAAAGTTTAAAACCGTACGTTTGCGATACTTGCGGGCGCAGTTACTCGCAAACTTCCCATCTGTGGCAGCACATGAGATTCCATCAAGGTAAGAAAAATAATAATTTCGTATCATATAATTTAAGGAATTTCTGTACGGTTCGACAACGCCGCGTGATGTTTGAGAGCGCCAACACGCCACTTAAAATATCAAAGCCACAATTCTTACGATTTAAAGAGACGAAAATGTTGCTCCTTGCTTCTGAATATTAAAATTTAAAAAACAGTGTTTTGATGTGTTGTTTGTGTTTTTTTGACATTCTCTAGAAATAAAGAACAATTTTTAAATTTCAATAAAAGCTACCTAAATTGGAATTTACCCGGTATAGCTTAATATATAGTTAAATTGACTATTGTTCTTCAAATCAAATTAAAATTTGATCCAAAAGGTCATACAGGGTGAGACAAAATTAATATTGAACATTAGTCCCCTATAAAAGCATGTTACTCTTTTATTTTAAATGGAACACCTAGTATATTATTCCGATATTCAGTGGAGAACTAATGTTTCTGCAAAATACTATTAAGGTTACCTACCCCTCAAACAAATATTTTCCTAGATATTTTCATTTACATGATTTGATCTGAGTAGATCTTTATTATTTGATGAAATATAGGTGGCTGTGATATGTCTGACGTTACTTCAACATAGCTGTCTAATTAGTCTAACTTTAACAACTAGTTGTCATTTTGTGTCAGTTAAAACTGACAACTAAAACTAAAAAAAAGTCTCGGAAATTTGCCGAAAATGCAAACTTATCCTACATCAGAAAGAATTGGTATAATTTTATTAGTTTGTGGATGCAGTGTGCATTCACCAATTAATAGAATATTTAAATGCTCCTGATTTTATCTAGTCTGTTTTTTTATGGGGATATGTTAAGGACAGTGTTTACAAAACTTGACCAACTATTGTCGGCAATTAACATGAGAGAAATAATAATTATTGTAGCTGCTTTTCGAGGTAGAACTCCACATAATGCCTTTTAAAATGAAACGATCCTTTTGAAACTAGAATTATTTTATGCAGTTAACAGGAAAGAAAGTATTTTGAGCATTTGATTTCATCTAGATAATTTTTGTCACATAATTATAGGCTTATATCTAGTTTTAATTCTGTAATAATTAAAATATGTTTTAAACGTGTATCCTTTTATTACCGTTGAGTATTTTACTCTACAATTTTTATTTTTTTAAACAAAAGGTATTTCACACAGCCGCCTAGATTTTTTCAAATAATAAAGATCTACTGACGCAAAATCATAAAAATTAAAATATCTATTAAAATATTTGTCTAAGGGGTAGGCAACCTTAGTAATATTTTGAAGATATATAAATTCTCCATTGAACACCGAAAAAATACACTGGGTGTTCCATTTAAAATAAAGGAGTAATTTGCTTTTAAAAGTGACTAATGTTCCATATTAATTTTGTCTCACCCTGTGTAACTTTTCGAGTCAAATTTCAATTTGGTTTAACATACAATGGATACTGTAATTAAATATCAGGTTATACAAGGTGAACTAAAATTTAGGTAGCTGTTTTCGAAATTTAAAATTTACTCTTCATTTTCACAAAATGTGAAATATGTATGTCAAAATCCTTAGATTTTAGGTATATGCTTCTTCAATAAAACTCACCTTTATTTTTTTTCTAGAATCCGAAAATCAATTAATATATAGGGTGTTCCATTAGAAAAACACAACTTTGAGGTGTAACTTTTTTGGGGACACCCTGTATAGTTCTATATATTTTTATAAAATGCTTTCAATTAACCCTTCCGCGGCGGACTATGGGGTATTTTACCTCAAAATCTGGCCAATAATATTTTTATTTTTTTTTGCATTCTTCCGCCTTTTAAAACGTGAGAAAATAAAGAAATTGCTTCAAATTTTAATACATACCTAGCGTTTTTTTATTGACAAGATTAAGTCGAGACTCCCTCGAGTATTGACAATAACATGTCAATACTCGAGGGAGTGATTCCTCAGGTAATTTTATGGAGAAAAGTTTCCATAAACATAGGTCCAGAAATGCATTATTTCTAAGATACAGGGTGTTGAAAGTGAAAAACACTACATTTTTATTCGATTAAAAAAATTTTAACTGCGAAACTCGCAAAAATTAGCAAAATTTCTTATCATGGTCTTCTAAAGGAATACTTAAGCTACAAAACTAGCCAGATTGATATACTTGATAAAGTTCGATTACATACTGAAAGTCGCTGAAAGTTTACATAAACATTCTGTTATAAATGAAATAATATGTCTATTATTGAACTAGCAGATTAATATTCTTCTAACTACAAATAACAGTTATACTAAAGAGTAATACTCCCATATTATACTCCAAACTAATATAAGATCAATAAAAGATCGCGATTAGTAAGAAAAACTAAGATAATTATTGTTAAGTAAATTTTGTAAAAGCACAGCGATACACAGCTCGTCTATTCGAAGAACAATTTGTGATTGGCGCGGATTGTAACACGGAGGGACATTGACCCCTACCACCCACCTTCAATACATTCATGTTTATACAAATATTTCCTGGTATCGGTTGGTTGATATCTTGAATTTATATTTTTGAATATTGGCCAACTTTTTATTAGTATGAAAGGCGCCACCCTGTATTACTTTAGAGACTTTACCCAGAGACGCTAGGAAAGGGATGTCCTTTTTTATGACGCGAGATCTCTCTAGACATTTATATACCGAGTGTCCTGGACGAACAACAGTATTTTTCTTTTCTATAGGTATCAAACCGTTTGCCTGTCCACACGAAGGTTGTGAAGCCAGGTACACAATCCGTCCAGATTTGAAAGATCACATTCGCAAGGTTCACACTAGAGAAAGACCTTTCAAGTGCAACGTCTGCAACAAGTGCTTTTTGACAGGTTCCGTCTACTACCAACACCGTCTCATACATACCAACGACCGAAGATACGGCTGTGAGGTTGGTTCATCTGGGATTTTAGAGCTCTTTGGATTCAACTAGGTTATAAGAAACGCCATTTTGACATTTAGTATTATGTCAGTATGTTTTGCTTCTATTTCACGGCTTAGAATTTGATAAACAGCGGGGCATCGGTAAGGGGAACGCAGATCTCATGCGTTTATGCGCAAAAGTATGGTTTGTTTCATTCGTTCAGGAATTCCTATATTTCCAGTACATTTTTTAATGTAGGTATTTTTAACTTTAAACGTATGTAAAAAATGTCTAACCTATGTGGCGGATTCATCTATCCAAAAAAATCCTTTATGGGTATTGCGCCACTGCACTGCAAGAGAAATCTACAAAATAAAATAATTATTTTTTGTAAACACTTCTGCGTTAAACCTAAACGGAGGCTGCTTGTCAGAAGTTGTGTTTACAGTTATAAAAATTTGCCTAACAAAGAAAAAAATGCTTAACGTTTCGGAAAGTTAAGTTTTTTAGTTATCTAAGATTTGTCAGCATTCATGGGACACAGGGCACAGAATAAATTTTAATAACGCCAAAATTATAATGAAAGAAGCGATAGCCTCTAAAAGAAAAATAAAAGAGGCTTTTTTAATTCAATCTAATAAAAATAATAGTATTGCTCATGCATCTGTAGATATTAGTAATGTATGGCAATCGCTTCTTTGATTTTAAAGAACATAACATAAATAAACATAACATACGTAAAATTTAAAAATAATCATACAGAAAGTTTGGGCTTTTTGGTTTTACCTTATTAAGTAATTGTTATCAGGTAGTAATTGTAATTTTGAAGTTTAACTTAATATAATGTCATTTTAACAGAACGTCAACGATTTCTTGTAGACGTATCTGTTTTAAAAAGTAAAGTGTTCTCGAATAGTTCAATTTAAATATTTTAAATAGTTTTTTTCTTGATTCTTTATATTTTTTTTGCCTCCGACGACGGAAAGAGAAAACTTTCCGAAACGTTAAGCATTTTTTTCTTTGTTAGGCAAATTTTTATAACTGTAAACACAACTTCTGACAAGCAGCGCCCGTTTAGGTTTAACGCAGAAGTGTTTATAAAAAATAACTATTTTATTTTGTAGATTTTTCTTGCAGTGCAGTGGCGAAATACCCATAAAGGATTTTTTTGGATAAATTTAAACGTATGGTAATCGCAAAACAATTTCCGATGCACGTGATCAACTTTGAGTGACAAGCGATGGCGACAGCGCTGCCAGATTGTGATGGATTTATGACATGAATCTTAATTTAAAATTGACAAACAATACCGGGTGCGTCTCAAAAGTGGCTCACCCCCTATAACTTTTTTATTTTTTCAGATGAAAAAACGAGATTTGGTATGTTAGTATACGACATAAATTGGGATTGATTGACGTATTCAATTGTTTTCGGTCACTTCCGGTTTCACCGGAAATGACTACAACTTTTGATTTTTAAATGGTACCCTCGGTATTTTTTTACTTTATTCGATAGAAAATGACACTCTGAATCGAATGACATATCATATGTCAACGTTTGACATTTTGGCATATGGTTTATTTGAAATTGTAACATGCGGTTCATAACGACAATTTGACTCAAAATACCAAGTGTGTGGTATCAAATTATTCGTAAAAAAATGCTTTTTCCAAATATGCTAATGAGCCACCCTCGTTCCATTTGAAAAAATTGAGATATGATTCAAAATACGATTTGAGCATCTTTTAACCGACCAGGACAAGACACTAAAAACATTAGACGATCAAATCTATTTTTCCAAGGCTCCTTGATTCAAAATTAGTGTTTTTAACACACCCATGGCACTCTAGATTGAAACTTAAAATAGAATTTGTTTTTGAGTGACTATGTCAAAAATTGACATATGATATGTCATTCGATTCAGAATGTCATTTTCTATCAAATAGAGTAAAACAATATCGAGGGTGCCATTTAAAAATCTAAAGTTGTAGTCATTTCCGGTGAAACCGGAAGTTACCGAAAACAATTGAATACGCCAATCAATCCCAATTTATGTCATATACTAACATACCAAATCTCGTTTTATCTGAAAAAATAAAAAAGTTATAGGGGGTGAGCCACTTTTGAGACGCACCCGGTATATTTATTATATCATTTTTTAAAGATTTTTACGTTTTATTTTTAAATTAATAACTAATATTTTAGTAATTAATTTATTTATTTGTTTTATATATTATTTTACTTATTACATATTAGGCAAAAACTAGTCCATTATGAAGATTATTCTAAGCGTTATTATGGATTATTTATTTATTTATTGATGTACAATCTTACAACACCATAAGTGGTAATAACAAGTAAAAGGGTGCTATTTAATGCACAAACTAATAATCATAGAATTTAATAAAAACTAACGTAGAAATAACTTTGAAAGTGGTGTAATGTGCTTATCAATCAAACTTACTTCTCTGACTGCAGTCAAGGGTAAAAAAGGACCTTTATTTTCACGTTCTCGTTCAAAATAGTTTATCAGGAAAGCTACAAGCTCTTTGCTTCGACTGTTTAAATGCTTCGGCATATTTTCAACACACAATTTCAAGAGATGCAATACAAAAACTCGAAAATTTAGTTCTTAAAAGAACTGTTTGTGCTTTTAAAGTACAATTTTTAAAAAAAGACTATGAAAATAAGCAAAAAACTATATAGAATTACTCACAAAGATTAAACAACAACACGATATTATGCAAAATAATGACTCACAAAAGGATAATTGTCAAATCATAAACGACAACCTTGTTGAAAACGGCGCAATGTGACCAACATAGCGATAATAAAATTCGGTTTAAACTAATTTTTGCAGCTTTAGTCTAAATAAAATATCTGTTACAATCATTTGCTCTATAAAGCAGGGTTGGAAAAAATTATGATTTAAAAAAAAAAATCAAAAAATCAGATTTATTTGATTTAAATCAGATTTTTTTTTATTTAAATCAGATTTTTTTTATTTTAATTCTAAACAATATTTAAATCGAATTTCCAAATGACTAGGACTTTCCAATTAAAGTCCTATCCTAAATGGCTAAATATAACTCTGGCCGATATTGATAACATTAACAATTGTATGGTGCATTTTGTCATTTTTCCACATCGGTCTCCAATATATTTCGCAAAAAAGTCGCTCGCTTCAGATCAAAAGGATTTTTTTTCAAACGTCTCAAAAGTATTAATTTTTCTAATTTTAACGCCTAGGCATAAAAGTAAAGCACTGTTACGCCTAAGCACAAAAGTACAAAAATATATTATTAAACTGACATGAAGTGTCAAATTCAAGTAGTGTACAAATTGTTGCTCGATTACTGTTTATATTATTTGCAATGTTTGAAATTGATTAAAAAATTATTTGTAATGTTTAAAAAAAATAGTATGTTCTATTCGGAGTAAAAATATATAATTTTTACTCCTAATAGAATAATACACTATTGCACGGAAATAGTCTTAAGTCGAGAATGAAATTAGTATTATTTGGTATTATCTAATGTCAAAGTGTAAAATACTTACTGCAGATAAAAATGTCGGTAAGAATTTGGAAAAATACAACCGTTTCAAAAAAAAAATATAAAACAACATATTTCCTGACAACGATTATAGATTCTCGGGAATGAAGATATATTCTCTATATCAGAAGAACCTATAGTCTGTCCAACGAGAAGATCCTTGAGAGTGATAGATGTGTCTGTCATTTTAATTTCAAAGTAGTTTATTTTATTTTACAAAGAAATAAGTTGGTAGAACTGGAACGCATAGCAGGAAATATTTAAAATTTGATTGACAAGTGATTACTTCAAAATATTGTGAAAAAAAACTGTATAAAACTGAAAAAATGTAATCGAGTTATTTTATTTAATAAAAACGGTATGCGTTAATACAAAACAAACAAGAACAAGACACCACATACCAAAAAAATATAAAAAAGAACTATTTTTTACTTTCAAGCTTTATGAAACTACCCGCATTTATGATTATATTTATCAATATAACTTATGTACAAATACAAATTTGTAATATTCTACAGGAATAAATAAAACAACATAGGTAAATAAAACAAACTATTTTATTAATAATAACACTTACCAAATTGTACCTTAAAGGTTGGTTAATTAACTTTAATCTTAATTTTTTTAAACCAGTACCTTTTGACATTATTTCTCTGCAGTACTAAAATCCATTATTTACCTATCGTGTGATGTCGATATTTTACAGCTACTCCAGTTTTTAGTATGTGTTTAGTATGGTCCTACCATATTCGAGATGCACTTATCTACGACGAGATGGTATACGAACTTTATTGATGGTAACTTGTAAATTTAATGGTGTATAAGACTTTCTGCCTGGGCAGCGAGTGTTAACTATAAACTGTGCTCTGGGGCTACAGTTAATTTTCACTCGATTTTTCCTCCACTTGACTTCAAAAGACACAAAACACAGGTAATAACACGAATCATAATGCATCATCTTCCAAAACGCAGGATATTTGACAAAAATTGACACATTGGTTGACACAAAATTATATCCTATAATTTGGCAAGACTTTGACAAGCGTCAAAAATCTAAAGGCGAGTTCATACGCATCGGCGTCCGTTTGTCGTTCATCGTTCCGTCAAACCAATAAAATTGAAATACGATCTGTCAACCAAACCAAACCAATAAAATCCAAAGTTAACTTAAAGATTATTAGAAACTTTTTGTAAAATCTTTGAATAAGAAGACTAAGGAAGGAGCATAATGCTATCCATGTATTCATGCATGGTGGGCGGAAAAGCTCTCTAGGGTGGGGATCCTTGACAGTTCTGTTTGACGATTCATTTGACACATTTGAATTTAATTTGAAATTTTGTGGATTTGTCAGTCTTTACGGGGTAGATCTCGGCAAAAATTGAGTGAAATAATGGAACAACTTTTCGCTAGTAAGTGACTATATAATATACATACGTGTGGTAAACCGATCATTTATGAAATTCACTTAAATTAACTAAATTATATATTTTTCTTGCATTTTAGCTTTTATTCACTACTTGTCAAAGATCAGATGTCAAAGAATTTTGATACGTTAATTTGACTTACCTGCTTCAGTAGCGTATCGGATGTTTGTGTTAATAAATACTTATTATAACTTATCTATTTTTATTAGAATTATATATTTTTATAACAATTTTAATAACTACCAACATTTATTCACAACGTAAAATAAAATAACAAATTATTGAGTCTACCTCACGTCTACCCTACATCATAGTTTTACATTTTTTAAATAAAATTAGAACAGCACTGATAAACCGGAATTTAAGTCGGCCATATTTGAGGCCCATCGCGGTGTACCTAAGATTTTTGATATGCTCCTTCCTTAGTCTTCTTATTCAAAGAGTAAAATAAATAGATTGGTATGGGACGTCATCTGCATTTTTTCTGTCATCGTCTGTCGAAATCTTACCTGAGAAAAAAAACAGAGTTATAGTTCTGCACTAGACTGCGAATGATATGTATTCGAACAGCGAATTTTTGTCACTTGTACATAAACTTTAAAATAAATCCCTGCGTTTAGCGGTCTAATGGATTCACCCGAAATTACTTTAAAAATCGGTCCAACATTTAAATTGATGAATATATATTTTTATATAGTTTTATAATATTAACAATTATTTTTCGATTTATTATCTGACGACCACGACCGACGATCTTTTATAGAAATATTTTTTATAGTTTTCTAGGACACATTTTTATAACTTTTACAGTTATTTATTGATTTATAATAAAGTTTCAATAAAACATTTTTTTTTTTATTTAAATCACATGATTAAAATTAAAAAAATCACTTGATTTAAATCATGATTTAAATCATTTGATTTAAATCATGCCAACCCTGCTATAAAGTCAACTGAAAAGCTGCTCGGTATCTTAAATTATACAACAAATTTAAACATTTATGCCAAAATTTTATTTAGCCAGGTTTATAGAGTTTAATGTCAATGTCGATATGACTGATAACGTACATCGGAAAATGTTTTGCGATACAATATCTAAATTTTTTTCAGTGATTTTCTAAATATAGCTATATTTGTTAGAAAGCGTGTACTAACTATCAAAATCTGCTTTTTTAAAGTTCAAGGGATATAATACAATACAGTAACACCGCTATTGGATATTTTATTATAAGTCAATATTTCCGCTATATCCATGAAGGAGCTTAAAATTGGGTGTAGCATTGACCAATGGGAATAAATTATGCGCATGCGAAACACGAAAGAATCTCTATTAATTATTTTTTAATAAATTATTTGATTTTCCTTAATTTAATTTTCTATGATGAGTTATAATACAAGAAAGGGGGACACGATATACAATCTACAATCTACAATTTAATCCACAATATTTTCTAGTCCATGTGGCAACACAGGGCGCCGAAAGAAAAATCTAAGCATTATTTTTTAAAATTTTAAAGTTAATATTAACTCGGTTGTTTTTAGTTTATGTTAAAAACGGCAAATAGAAAATATGATTCTTTTATCCAGATCTACTACAACCTCTTAAAATACTTGCATTTATTTAAAAGACACCCTGTATATCATTAGTGATATTTTTTGTATTATTTGCTCTTCATTATTCTCTGAAATCTCAATAATAATAAAAAATTCTGGCCTGGATTCTGCATAGTAGGCCCGAATCTGACCAAACAACGTTGCCAGCTCGGTCCAAAAATCCCAAAACTCACTTTTTATCCTTTCTAGAGGAATATCGAGTAATATTTTCGAAACTTTATGACTAATTTTCTTGCTATTTCCCTCGTCATAGATTTGCCACAAGAGATTTTTCAGGGCTGATGCATTGAATAACCACAAAAGAATCCACACAGATGAACGGCCTTATCCTTGCTCAGTATGTGGCAGGGAATTTCGACAGAAAGGTGATAGAAACAAGCATGTGAAAACTCAGCATCCCGAATACTCATTAAATAGGATTTAGAATCAAATATATTTGTCGTTTTATCGTTTGAAAAATTGTGTTTATTAAATTTTATTGTTAATTTTAATTGTAGTAGGTTGGATGTTTCTTAAAAAATTGTTTCTGTATAATTTTAAATGTTTGTTCGGTTTGAAATAAATTTGAGAAAGTTTTTTAATATACGGCTTTTGTTTTTTATTCATTCAGTATACAGTTTTGGCTTCCTTTAAAATTACTGAGTAAATAGATTTCGATAATTTCAGAGATATTAATAATTAAATAAAATATATATATTTTTCAGCCTTTCTTAAAAAAATATTAAAAATGCAAGAACTGTTCTGAAATCAAAACTATATTAGGTATTTACTATAGATGGTCTGCACTTAGTTTGCTATAAACATGGTAATCGTAAATAATACAGGATGCTCAAAATTCTACGCCAAACTTTCTAAAATATAATAAATTTTATCTTCGTTTTTTCAAATGTAACACCCTGTATATTATTTCTTCAATAGATGAAGAATTAAAAAATGAAATTTTTTTTGCATTTAGAGTATATCAAAATTTTTAACGGTTTCGAAGATATTCGCGGTTTTATATTTCATATGGCATTTTCCACAATTTTTGTCAAAGCCACCCAATGATTTTTCTCTCGTATTTTATCATTGAAATCGCCATATAAAATGACACTGCGTGTATCTGCAGAACTATTAAACGTTTTGAAATACTTTTAAATACAAAAAATGTTCATTTTTTAATTCTACATCTAATAAAAAAATAATATACAGGGGGCCCCATTTGAAAAAACAAAGTAAAATTATTTAATATTTTAGAAAGTTTGGCCTAGAATTTTGAACATCCTGTATGATTTAATTTTTTTCCAAATTTTTTATTCTAAGAGTTACAGATGCCCGACGCACTATTGCCGGACCCTCTATATATTTTTATATCTATATTATTAGTCTATATACATCCATAGTTTCTAATGCCGGGTCCAGACCAAGCAGACAAAACAACGACAAGACAGAAACATTCATTTTTTACGACAAAATTGCGACAAATCCAATAAATTTCTGTGACATTTTTGTATCATTTTTGTTTTGTTTCAAAACTCGGAGACTTTTTTCAATGGTAAAATCAAAGTGTCTATGTTTTGTTCGTATATTTTACGACAAGTTGTCGGCGCAGTGTGGCTGTCAACATATGGCGTATGCTGTCTACAGTAGGACAATCACAACCAGTGAAATCACACATGATTAATAAAACCAATGACTAAAGAATATAAGGACATGTAACGCCCCTATACGGGCTGCAGCAGAATTTGTGACCTTAGAGACCTTTCTTTTGGTGGCAAACAATGAGTCATCACTTGGTCACCAGCGACAATTTTAGCGATTTTTAATAGTTTGTGTATAGTAAACTTTGTATAAACTTTATTACAATGGTGATTAGTTGTTCAGCTTTCAAGTGTAAAAGCAGCAGCGATAAGAAAGAGCCAGGAGTTACGTTTCATAGGTAAATAAACAGTCCACTCCAACTTTTTAGCGTTTTCTTATTGAATTCGATAATTATTCTTCAATTTCAATTAACATCTATATGTACTTGATATGTGCTATACGTCGATACTAGTTTTGTACCTTTTGTTAACATTTTAATACGATTTTTTCGTAATTAATTAGGATGATACACCATAGGCGTAGTTAAAACAATTATCAAAAAATATAAATATTGCTTTAAACAGTTAGGTTAAGACAAATATGTGCTACGGCACTGTTTGGTGACATCGTCACAATTTGCTCTTGGGTGTTATTTGTCCTTGGATTCTTTAGTCATTGAATAAAACTCATTTGCAACAATTAAACTTTTGACTTTGTTGTACTTTGTACTTTTGTCCTTGCGGTGCGGAAAATTTGTCTCAAGTTTATCTTGTTTTTGTCTCAAAATCGTGTTTACTTTTTGTCACTTTGGTCTGGACCCGGCATAAGTTGGTAAGTTGACTGTTTTCATTAGACATCTTTTTCTTGCATTTTTTTTTATTTTGTATCTAATGGCAATTTTTTTCCTGGTCTGGTTAGCCGCAAAATTCCAGTAAGGTTCTTCTAGAGAAGAAGAGACGCAAAAGTATCTTTCATACATAAGTTCTGTTTTGTGACTTTATATTAACCTTTATAATAAATATTATATTATTAATATTTACTAACGATTTGTGAATTTACAAAAGTAATTGTAATAGACTATTACAAATGGGTAGTTTGTATATAAATTCACTATAATCAAATGTTTTTATTTGTTGTTACCTACTATTATAGTAAAAGTACAGGAAGTTAACGATTTTAAAAGATAAACTTACAACGAATAAGTAAATTTACTATGAGATACACATTTTTTAAATAAATTCATAAAGAATAATGGTGAATATAAAGATATATTATAATATATTAATACAGGGGGGTGGCGCACAGTGTTTTGTCTAATGGACAAAAATAAAAAAATTACGTATCAATGTTGATAATATTCTTATTTATTATGATAACTTATTGAGTCATCAGAAGGAAATGCAAACGTAAAACTTCAGCAACAGAATATTTTAGTTATAAGTAGGCTGTAAAAACAAGTGATATTCGGATCGGATTCTGATCGCCATATCAGCTCTGTCATTTCTATATTTTGACGTTGTTTTGTGACAGGTAAATTTGTGAATATAATCGTGTAAATAATTATTAGTAAATAATTATGATAATATTATCCAAGGTATGTACTTTATGGTTTTAATATTTTCATATGAAAATTATGTTCTATACATATATATTTATGTATCTAAAATTTTGCTTGTTAAAATGCGAAAACAATATATATTTTTACATTTCATTACGGCTTTTCAAAAATACCCCCCACCCCCCCCGCCCAGGATTTTTGGCTGATAATAATCTTTAAACTATGTAGTTTTCGAAACCACAATACAAATTTGCCCCAACTTGCCCCAAACTTTTTTCTTAATTTTTTTTTAGGAAGGGAGATTCATATAAAAAATCGGTCTTATTTGAGGAATGGTTTGTGTTGCCGAAAAATTGTGAAGCCTTTTAATACCCAATGGTTAAGACACGAATTTAAACAAACTCATTCAGCAGACAAGTAAATATTTTTGTTTAAAAAAGGAAAGCAACTCGCTCGCGTTTTGTGGAAAATAATAAAACTTGGCTGAACACCAGGATAATGTTACCTAATGTTAGCCGAAATGATATTAATATGTGATACCTAATAATTAATATTGATTATTGTGATCATTAATGATATTATTCATGTGATTGATACTGGTGAGGGAACAGATTTATCCCTGCCTCTTGATTTGTCTAATTTAGTGGAAAATGAATCAGAAAGTGAAGACTCCGACTAATTGGTTATTTCTACATTTTTGTTATATTGATCTCTGTTATAAGCCTATTCAGTGTTAAGTATACATACATATAGATAGATATTAAGTCGATTTCAGTCCAGTAAAGAAAAAAGTAAGAAAACACTATTTATTAAACATTAATATAATCACTGCTAATTGATTCCAGAACAGAGTCCTTCGACTAATTTGTTATTTCTACATTTTTTATATTGATCTCTGTTATGAACCTATTTAGTGTTAAGTATACATAGATGTAATATATTAAGTTGATTTCAGTTCAGTGAATAAAAAGTAAGAAACCACTATTTATAAAACATTAATACAATCAATTATGGCGCGGGCAGAATTCTGTTATTAATTGACTCATAGAAAACTTCATTAATTATGAGTTAAATTTTTGCTAATAATATTGTATTTTTTAAATATGAATTATATGTATAGATACCCTTGAATATGATTGACAAATATAGAGTAATTGCATTTTTATACCGGCTGTATAGCCAAATAAATTATTTTTGTCCCCTAGTCCCTATATCATAAAACACTGTGATGGCGCACCTCATTCGCCCCGGTGGATTATACGAAAACGGAAAGATGGAGAAACCACATTTTTTATAGGTATATGTAGAGAGGTAATGTGCATAATTTAAAATTATTTTCAAATGTACGGGGTGTGTCAGAACTAAGATCTATACCAAAGTTATATTTTTTCTTAAGGAACACCCGGTATTTTATATCATTTTAGGATTCTTAGGCAAAAAATAAGGCATTTATTATAAGGGTTTAATATGTTTAAATGCTTTGGTTTTTGAGATATTTAAAGATATTTAAATATACATGCTATGATAAAAAAGTTTGTCAACACCCTTTACAATGATTTTCAGAGTTAATTCTTGTGCTGATTTTGAAGCCAGAGAAATAAACTTTACTAAAATGTTTTTTTGCTGCCTTAAATGTATACAGGGGTATCAAAAATTGCTGGTCTATTTTAAATATTTATTTTACATAAAAACTTCATTATTTCAAATACAACAATATGTATTTTTTTAAATAAGTCGAAGAACATTTAAATGCTCTTTCAAACTATATTAAGGGTTCCTATATCTATCTTGCTCAGATTTTGAATAAAAAGCGATTTTTCAATAAAATGACAATCAAGATGGCTGGTGTCGCCATGGCAATATGATAGTGACAGTTAGTAGCTATTTTCAAAATCGACATTAGTTCATGGACTTTATTTAAATTTATAACAGTTTAATTTTATTTAATTTACCTAAAATAGTTTAATAAGTAAGTATAAGTAAGCATTTATCATTTTATCAAGAAAAATAAAGAAGTGATTTATATTAAGATGACTTATAGATATAATGGATTCTCTATAAAAGAACCAATTAAGGCAAATTCATTTTCTTCACTTCCAACGACAGGTTTTTGTCTAATAGTTTTGCCATTACTTCCGCCAGGAGATACTACTTCATTTTTCTTGATAAAATAATAAATACTGACTTATTAACTTTATTGTAGGTAAATTAAATAAAAATAACCTGTTATAAATTTAAATAAAGTCAATAAATTAATTTCGATTTTGAAAATAGCTACTAAGACTACTACTGTCATTAGAAAATGTCCATGGCAACACTAGCCATCTTGATTACAATTTTATTGAAAAATCACTTTTTATTCAAAATCTGAGCCAGATAGGTATAGGAAACTCTAATATAGTTTGAAAAAGCACTTAAATCTG